GAATCCCTCCTCCTCTTTCGCTGGGGGGGGGGGGAAACTCGCTTAGCTTCTTTTCAGCTTAGTGATCGACAAAAACAAATCTTCATGACTTTCCATCAACGGGTGACACCACACTCCTCAACTTTCATTCTCCCCCCCCCTTTTCTCATTTAAAGTCTCTTTTTAAACGGGAGTTCGGGAATCCCTCCTCCTCTTTCGCTTGGGGGGGGGGTAGAAACACGCTTTACATCAGTTCATTATACCGATCGACAACTTACAATTTCAGCCGTTCCTTTTCATTTCATTCGCATTTTCGCTTCAGCACTCAGGTGGCGTCTGGCGGCTCCGCTAAGCCCCGTGCGGGGCCGCAAACGCGGCGAGGTTCATTGGGGCATGAGGGGAGCCTCAATTTCCGACCTTCCGGTCGAGAAAGAGGCTTTTCCCCTTGTGCGCCCCGAGTCGGAGCCCCTCTGGGGCTCGTCCGGGTCTCCGCTTGCGCGGATTCCCCCCTTAACCGCGGGCGGGCGAAGACGCCCTCGGGAGCACCCCGAGGATGCGTCCGCCATTCGCGGAAGCCAAACTGGAAGCCAGAATGGGATATATTTTGTGGGGAAAGATGTACACAAGACGGCAGCAAGATTACAGTGGCAATCTTAACCTGAGAGTTACTTAACCTGTGAGGCTTAAATTGCTTTTGAGTCACTCCAGCATGTCTACACATTGAAAATACAGAAGAAAAACCATTAAGTACTAATAATGTGAGTGAGCATGGAGTGAGTCCAGCATAAAAGTCTTGGAGAAGAAAAGCAACCCAATAATGGCACTGGGGCAACAGGGCACAGATCACCATCTGTGTCTCCTGAATAGCCTGGCTTAACTGGGGCAAGAAGCCTGAAGAGATGAATAGAGAATAGAGAACGTGGGAGATGGAGAATGAACTGAGTGCTTGAATTCCCTGAGGCCTTTTTGTAAAATGGCTTTATCTGACTAGCAGTCTCCAACAACAGGTTTTATATTCACCTTTCCTAACTCATCAGTGATAATTACAAGATTCTTAAATAAGTGCATGAACAAGACGTTGGGATACATGTATGATGTTTGTGAATGTGTGTCAGATAAAAAATAGAGATGTGCTATTATTTTTAAAAGTATAAATAATGTGAACAACACTGTCTTTTAGGAGAACCTGGAACCCCTGGCATTCCAGGACAAAAAGGTGCTCCAGGAAGAATGGGTGACTGTCTTATTGGTTTACCAGGGCCATCAGGCCCATGTGGAATTATAGGTCCACCAGGTAAGTTATTTGCAAAGGAACTAGCAGATATGCAGTAGACAGAATGCATCATATCTCTGCTCTGGGGTCCTACAGAGTTCTATCATATCCCCCATGTTGTTTAACATCTACAGGAAACTGCTAGGTGAGCTCATCCAGGGATTTGGAGTAAAGTGCCACCAATAAGTGGATGACACACAGTTCTAGTTCCCTGTAACAGCTAAAACAGATAGGTCTGTGTAAGTCCTGAATAGATGCCTGAAGGAGGTAATGGGATGGATGAGAACCAGTAAACAGAAGCTGAGTCCAGACATGACTGAGGTGCTGTTAGTCAGTGGAGCTGCTGCTCAGGGACTGTAGAGGGAGCTTGTCCCAGAGGGAGGTTATTTATTTATTTTATTTATAAATTAGATTTATGAATTGCCCAATCCGTGATTACTCAGAGCTCTGGGCAATGAACAACAAAACTAAAACATCTCTCCTTATATATAATTGAGTAAGAACATTCTATATGAACATTCTAAATTTGGCCCCTTTAGTGTATGGACGCTTGAACTGTCAGTCAGAAGACGCTGGCTGGGTTGACTGGCTGCTTTGTGCAGTCCCGCCCAGCGTTTCAAGGTCTTTTGCATATGGAAGCTGATTGGACTTCACTGCATTCCACACCTCAAACTCACCCCCCTCCCCGCAAGGCAGTTGGAATGTCAGTTGCATATGGAACCTTCAAGGTATTTTGCATATGGAAGCTGATTGGACTTCACTCCATTCCACACCTCATACTCCCCCCCCCACAAGGCAGTTGGAATGTCTGGTGGTGTGTAGGTCCCAGGATCATGTTTTAAAAGCTGCCTGGGGGATTATGGACCATTCAAACACTTTCAACCTTAACATACCTCATAGGGGGAAAGGAGAATGATAACAGCTTTGAAGGATGATAGGGAAATGGCTGAGAAGCTAAATGCATTTTTTGCCTCCGTCTTCACTGTGGAAGATGAGAAGTGCTTGCCCACTCCAGAACCACTGATTTCAGGAGGGGTGTTGGAAGACCTGAGTCAGATTGAGGTGATGAGAGAGGAGGTCCTAAAACTGATAGACAACTTAAAAACTGAAAAATCACCAGGCCCAGATGGCATACATCCGAGAGTTCTGAAAGAACTCAAATGTGAACTTGTAGATCTCCTGACAAAGATATGTAATCTTTCCTTAAAATCTGCCTCCATTCCTGAGGATTGGAAGGTAGCTAATGTCACTCCCATCTTTAAAAAGGGTTCCAGAGGAGATCCGGGAAATTACAGGCCAGTCAGTCTGACGTCGATACCGGGTAAATTGGTGGAAACCATTATTAAGGAAAGAATTAGTAGGCACATAGATGAACAAAACCTATTGAGGCAGACTCAGCACGGTTTCTGTAAGGGAAGATCTTGTCTCACTAACCTGTTAGTGTTCTTTGAGGGGGTGAACAAACATGTGGACAAGGGGGATCCAATAGATATTATTTACCTTGACTTCCAGAAAGCTTTTGATAAAGTTCCTCATCAAAGGCTCCTAAGTAAGCTCAAAAATCATGGGATAGAAGGACAAGTCCTTTTATGGATCAAAAACTGGCTAGTTCATAGAAAACAGAGAGTGAGTGTAGGTGGGCAATTTTCTCAGTGGAGGGTGGTAAGCAGTGGGGTACCGCAGGGATCAGTACTTGGTCCACTGCTTTTTAACTTGTTCATTAATGATTTGGAGATGGGAGTAAGCAGTGAAGTGGCTAAATTTGCGGATGATACAAAGTTGTTCAGGGTGGTGAAAACCAGTGAGGATTGTGAGGCACTCCAAGGGGATCTGTCAAGGATGGGCGAGTGGGCGTCAACATGGCAAATGGGGTTCAATGTGGCCAAGTGCAAGGTGATGCACATTGGAGCCAAAAATCCTAAATATAAATACACATTGATGGGGTCTGAACTGGCAGAGACTGAGCAAGAGAGAGATCTTGGAGTTGTAGTGGATAACTCACTGAAAATGTCGAGACAGTGTGTGACTGCAATAAAGAAGGCCAATGCTATGCTGGGGATTATTAGGAAGGGTATTGAAAACAGATCAGCCAATATAATAATGCCCCTATATAAATCAATGGTGAGACCTCATTTGGAATACTGTGTGCCGTTCTGGGCACCACACCTTAAAAAGGATATTATAGCTTTGGAAAAAGTGCAGAAAAGGGCAACTCGAATGATAAAAGGGTTGGAACACTTTCCCTATGAGGAAAGGTTAAAGCGCTTAGGGCTCTTTAGCTTGGAGAAAAGACGACTGAGGGGTGACATGATCGAGGTTTATAAGATTATGCATGGGAAAGAGCAGGTAGAGAAAGAGGTACTTTTCTCCCTTTCTCACAATACAAGAACTCGTGGGCACTCCATGAAACTGCAGAGCGGTCGGGTTAGAACGGATAAAAGGAAGTACTTCTTCACCCAAAGAGTGATTAACACATGGAATTCACTGCCACAGGAAGTGGTGGGTGCTACAAGCATGGACGGCTTCAAAAGGGAATTAGATAAGCATATGGAGCAGAGGTCCATCAGTGGCTATTAGCCACAAGGTATAGCTAGGGGCTCTGGGGCAAGTGATGCTCTGTCTTCTTGGTGCTTGGGGGGGTCAACAGTGGGAGGGCTTCTAATGTCCTGGCCCCACTGGTGGACCTCCTGATGGCACTGGTATTTCTGGCCATTGTGTGACACAGAGTGTTGGACTGGATGGGCCTTTGGCCTGATCCAACATTGGCGTCTCTTATGTTCTTATGTTCTTATGAGTGGGGGACTGGGCATTCTTCAGTCCAGAAGGCAGTTGCCTCAGAACCTTCCCCCCTCTGTATCTCACCCCATAGCCACCACAGATGCCTACAAACTTCAAGTGAGGTTTCATGTTCTGGCTGGACTTCAAGGCAACAAACTTGTAGATTTTTTTCTTTAAACATAAAAATGTTTCTCTTTCCTTAGGAGCCAAAGGTGTACTAGGACCCAGAGGAGACCCAGGTATTCCAGGTTTAGACATCCCAGGGTCCCAAGGACAATTTGGACTACCAGGATTACCTGGCCCTCAAGGAGGTGAAGGGCTTCCTGGCATCAAAGGCCAGGCAGGCAGACCAGGAATACCAGGAACACCAGGTATCACTTGTTTGCCATTTTTGTTTCATATAGGAATGGGAATTATCAATACAGTCTGTAAACAATATGAAGCCAATAGCATGATATTAAATCAGTGTGTGATGCATAGGGAAAGGCAAGGGGTTATAGGTGTACAGCAAAGCACATTTAATTCATGACAGAAGGGCACTCCTTCACTGGCAACTGGTATACATGATATAGGTCCTACATATCTGCAGGACCATCTCTCTTGATATGCTCCACTGTAGCAGCTTCGCTAACCTGAGTGAAGTCTTCTGATGGTGCTATCCTGCAAATGGCCAGCCTGAAGAGGTCAGAAAGATTCCTATGCTTTTAGCATTTCATGAACTGTACAAAATTGAGGGCATTTTTGTAAAGGGAATAGGGCATAAGAAATGTCTGTGATATTGTTGACAGTTCATGGCATAGTTCACTTTATGTCCTATACTGTATGAAGTGTGTTTTAACTTTGCAACCCACCTTCATTGCATTGTTTGTTATTTGCATAACACTGTCTTTATTGCATTGTTTTAAGTTGTATTTAACTCCCCTTACTGCATTGTTTTAAATTGTGTAATCTGCACTGAGTGTCAATGAGAAAGGTGAATTGTAAGTGAAGTAAACAGAAATAAAGTAATGTGAATAACTTTCAAAGGACTGAATAATGGTACTGTGAGTCATATATGAAGTATTTCCCCCCCAATTCAGAGAGAGCTGAGTGTTAAAATAGTCTCTTATATACAAAACAGTTTTCTGAACAGGATGAGCACATGCAAAAAGATACTGTGTGAGCAGTGAAGGGGAAACACTATGTCTGACATGCAAGCCAAACAAATGGCTGGCACTGACTCAACTTGGGATGTTTATTGCTGACGCTTGTGTTGGTTTATTTTATTGCTGCAGAACATGATGATTAGCCCCCAAACTAGGGTTGCCAGCTCCAGCTTGGAAAATACCTGGAGATTTTGGACGTGGAGCCTGAAGACGGCAGGGACTTCATTGGGGTACAATGCCATAGAGTCCAAAGCATCCCTTTTCTCCAGGTGAACTGATCTCTGTCTCCTGGAGATCAGTTGTAATAGTTGGAGATCCCCAGCCACCACCAGAGATGCCAGCCTCCAGGTGGGACCTGGGGATCCCCTAGAATTAAAGTTAATCTCCAGACTACAGAGATCAGTTCCCTTGGAGAAGATGGATGCTTTGGAGGGAGGGCTCTATGGCATTGTACCTAGGGCTGCCAATTCCCCCCGGGGGTGCGGATTTCCCCCCGCTTTGGAGGCCCGATTTCCGCCCCCGCGGAATCGGGCCCCGGGGGAAACCCCACCCCCGCGTGCACGTCACAGGCAAGTGACGTCATGAAGCCGGGCACGCTGGGGGCGGGGCCACAGCCATTTGAGATGTTGTTTAACATCTATATGCGCCCCCTTGCCCAGATTGCCCGGAGTTGTGGGCTTGGGTGCCATCAATATGCAGATGACACCCAGCTCTATCTGATGTTAGGAGGCCAGTCAGACTCCACCCCGGATGACCTTCATCGGGCATTGCAGGCTATGGCTGGTTGTCTCAGACTGAGCCGGTTGAAACTAAACCTGGCAAAGATGAAGGTCCTGGGTCTGAGTTGGATCGGTTCAGGGCTGGGGCTCCCTCTCCCGACCTTCGATGGGGCGCCTCTGGTGCCAGCGTCTGAGGTTAGGAGTTTGGGTGTGCTCCTGGATTCCTCCTTAACGATGGAGGCCCAGGTGGCAGCCACTGCCAAGTCGACCTTTTACCACCTTCGGCTGACTTGGCAGTTGGTCCCTTTCCTTGACTGTGATGACCTGGCCACAGTGATCCATGTGACAGTCACCTCGAGGTTAGACTACTGTAATGCTCTCTACATGGGGCTGCCTTTGTTGCAAATCCGGAAACTGCATCTAGTGCAGAATGCAGCAGCCAGGCTGTTGATGGGTCTCTCCAGGCGGGAGCACATCTGGCCTGTGCTGAAAGCGCTGCACTGGCTGCCAATGGCGTACCAGATCCGCTTCAAAGTGCTGGTTCTTACCTTTAAAGCCCTATATGGCCAGAGTCCAGTCTACCTAAGGGATCGCCTTTCCCCGCATTTTCCCTTCAAGGGCACTACAGTCGGGGAGTCAAAATCTCCTGGTAAGCCCAGGCTCCAGGAATATCAAATTTGCTGTTACCAGGGCCAGGGCGTTTTCGGTGGTGGCTCCTACCTGGTGGAACGAGCTCCCAGAGGAGATCCGAGCCGTGCGGGACCTTGCACAGTTCCGCAGGGCCTGCAAGACGGAACTCTTCCACCAGGCTTTTGAGTAGGAGCTGCCGCCACCATTATTCCACCATCGTTACCCCTCATCATCGCACCTCGACCATCAATTATGCGGATATTAAATGGGGTGCGAGACGTTCCTAGATGAAGATGGGATGATTGGGTTGCTAGGAGGTACGTTGTTGGCCTGGAATTAATAACTTTTACCAGACCCCCATCTTGCAGCCACTGATTTTGTGACATCTAGAGCACCGACATTTTAGAGCTTTGTACTGTATTGTTTTATTCTGTTTTTATCTGTTTTAGCTTTGGCACTTGTGCCTCTTTGTTAGCCGCCCTGACAAAGCTTCGGGGAGGGTGGGATATAAATCCAATAAATAAATAAATAAATTTGGTTCTCAATCTGGAGCCAGTGCAGTTGGTAGAGCACAGGTTGTATATGTGCTCTCAGGGGGATCCCATGGTGCCTTATTCTGGACCAGTTGAAGCTTCCGAAGCAAGTTCAAGGGCAGCCCCGTGTAGAGTGCGTTACAGTAGTCTAGTCTAGAGGTGACCATTGCATGGATCACTGTGGCCAGGTCTCCATGGAGCAGGTAAGGGGTCAGTAGCTGGGCTTGACAAAAATGGAAAAGCACCACCCTGGCTGTATTTGTGACCTGAGCCTCCAATGAAAGGGAGGCATCTAGGATCACACCCATACTGTTGACGAAGGGAGCTGGTACTAGCTGTACTCTGTCAAGAGTGGGAAGCTGAATTCCCTGACCCAGACACACACACCCCAGCCTTACCACAGGACCTCTGTCTTCGATGGGTTCAGCTTCAGACAGCTCTGCTTTAACCATCCCACCACAGCCTCCAAAGAACTTGCCAGATCTTCTGGGGCAGTATCCGGACGGCCGTCCATTAACAGATACTGCTGGGTGTCATCTGCATATTTATGACACCCTAGCCTGAATCTCCTGATTAACTGGGCAAGAGGGTGCATATAGGGACGTCCGACTGGCCTTGACCAGGGCCGGGGCTTTTTCGGCCCTGACCCCTGCCTGGTGGAATGAGTTCCCATGGGAGATCAGGACCCTGTGGGGTTTATTACAATTCCACAGAGCCTGCAAAACAGAGCTCTTCCAGTGGGCTTTCGGTTGAGGCAGTGGGCATCCCCCTCCTTGGGTCGGCCCCCATCTGTAGCCTGGGTCCGAGATCCTAAATCGTATAGATCCCCAACAAATTTAAATTCTAGTACCATCAACCTCTGAGATATCTGGTTTTTTACTAGAGTTGTATGGTACATATGAGCTACGTTAATTTATATTGTGTTTTAATGTGATTTTAATTGTATTGTATTTTATCCTGTTGGAACCCCCCCTCAGCCTGTTAAGGGGAGGGCGGGATATAAATCCAAATAAATAAAAACTAGATAAATAAATAAATTAGCAACTTTGGGGAGAGGATCGCCCCCTGAAGGACTCCGCACACCAGTGGGTGCTACAATGAGACCCTCTCCCCTAGTGCCACCTTCTGTCCCTGCCCTTGGAGAAATGAACACAGCCATTGAAGGACTGTTCCACGTAATCCAATGATGGCGAGGAAGTGGAACAACAGGTCATACTCAACCATGTCAAACGCTGCTGAAAGATCTAACAACAACAGCAGCGCAAACCCACCTCAATCCAATTATCTATGGAGATTTCTATAAAGGCAACCAGCACCATTTCCATCCCATGGCCAGGATGGAAGCCAAACTGGAATGGGTCCAAGGCCGATGTGTCCTCCAGGAAGGCCTGTAGTTGTTCTGCAACCACCCACTCAACCACCTTACCCAGGAACGGAATGTTTGGAATTGGGCAGTAGTTGGCTAGATCAGAAGGATCTAGCAATGGTTTTTTTTCAACAGCGGACTCACCACCACCTCCTTATGCATTCCCTGGGAAGATGTCCAAGGCCAGGGACAGATTAATTATGTCTGCCAAGGAATTCCATATCCTCTCCGCACTGGCTTTAACCAGCCAGGAGGGGCACAGGCACTTAGCCCTCTGCAGTCTCTTGGGCTGATTCCATTTCTGTTCAAAGCAGAAGTAGCAGTGGGTGCACTGAAAGGCCATAGCCACTGGGAGTATAGAGGAGGAACTTCCCTATCCTTATCCCCAGCTAGGGTGAATTTTTGTGCTTCCAGAGTGTCAAGGAAAGAAGGTTTAGCAGGGATGCAATTTGGGGTGCCCAGGTAAAGTTCTCAGGGAAATAACTTTGCCTGAGATCTTCTGCCTAGCATTCCAGATTCATTGAATCATAGAATCATAGAGTTGGAAGGGTCCTCCAGGGTCATCTAGTCGAACCCCCTGCACAATGCAGGAAATTCACAAATACCTCCCCCCCCACACACACACCCAGTGACCGCTGTTCCACACCCAGAGGATGACAAAAAAAACCCCAGGATCCCTGGCCAAACTAGCCTGGAGAAAAATTTCCTTCCTGACCCCACAGTGACGATCAGCATTTCCCTGGGCATGTAAGAAAGGGCCACAAGAACTAAGCACTGATGCAACCCTCCCTCTCATGATCTGCCTAAGTTCATAGAATCAGCATTGCTGTCAGATGGCCATCCAGCCTCTGTTTGAAAACCTCCAAAGAAGGAGAGCCCACCACCTCCTGAGGAAGCCTGTTCCATTGAGGAACTGCTCTGTCAGGAAGTTCTTCCTAATGTTCAGCCAAAAACTCTTCTGATTTAATTTCAACCCATTGGTTCTGGTCTAATCTTCCGGGGCAACAGAAAACAACTCTACACTATGCTCTATATGACAACCCTTCAAGTACCTGAAGATGGTTATCATATCACCTCTCAGTTGTCTCCTCTCCAGGCTAAACATACTTCAACCTTTCCTCATAGGACTTGGTCTGCAGATCCCTCACCATCTTTGTTGCCCTCCTCTGGACATGTTCCAGCTCATATATATCCTTCTCAAATTGTGGTGCTCAAAACTGAACACAATACTCTGGGTGAGGTCTAACCAGAGCAGAGTAAAGCGATCCCATCACTTCGCGTGATCTGGACACTATACTTCTGTTGATACAGCCCAAAATGGCATTTGCCTTTCTAGCTACCGCATCACACTACTGACTCATGTTCAGTGTATGGTCTACTGAGACCCCTAGATCCTTTTCGCACATACTACTGCCAAGACAAGTCTCCCACATCCTATAATTATGCATTTGATCTTTCCTACCTGAATGCAGAACTTTACATTTATCCCCGTTGACATTCATTTTATTTGGTTTAGCCTAGTTTTCTAGCCAGTGATCTGATTTAGCACAAAATAGTTTCATATGTTTTTTTTAAATCAGATGTAATGGCTTTCTGTGTTCCTTATAATTTATCAGTGCCATTCAGAACACTATTTTTCTTTGCTTGCTTCCCACAGGCCCAAGAGGAGAAAGAGGTATAATAGGTCCTGTGGGTATTCCTGGATTACCTGGAATCTCTGGAAATCGAGGTATCCCTGGAAGCAGAGGTAAGTGATACAGCATATGCCTTGTTTGTTCTTTGTATGGCTTGTAGATAAATTACTTCTGCAGGCGTTGATTTAATATGTTCTGTAGTTCTCAAAATATATGGCAGGCCACTTATCTCCATGAAGCAGTTGCTTGAGGAAGTTTGAGCCGCTGTCTTTTATTACTTTACTTGTTAAAAGTGTTACAGATCTGTAACAAAAACCTCTTTGAGTTGCTTATAACAGTAACAGTATAAAGTTTGAAGCAAGTGTAGACATGGACCGATATTCCATTACACAAGTGGCTGTTTATTTTCCAGTTTATATTTGTTGATGGTATTGAGGCAAGCGGAGCAATGAATTACACAGAATTATTTTATCTTCCCTTGAATGCCTCCTTAGGAGACCTTGACACACCAGAAATTTCTTTGATTTTACTCTAGCAGTCTGCCATTGACAAAAGACCTGCAGAGAGAACGCAACAGTTTATGAGAGAACCAGTTTGGTGTAGTGGACTCTAATCTGGGAGAACCGGGTTTGATTCCCCACTCCTCCATTTGCACCTACTGGATGACCTTGAGCAAGCCATAGTTCTGGAACAGCTGTTCTTGAAAAAGAGAGCAGTTTCTGTCAAGAGCTCTCTCAGCCCCACCTACCTCACAGGGTATCTGTTGTGGGGAGGGGAAGGGAAAGGAGTTTTTAAGCCACTCTGAGACTCCTTTGGGTAGTGAAGGGTGGGGTATAAATCCAATCTTCTCCTCTTCTTCTATGCACTCGTTTTTGGATTGGCATATCTAGGCTTCCCAGGTCCCCCCGGGGGGCGGGGAAAACCCCGCCCCAGAGGCCCGTTCCCCGCCGGTGGCGGATTGGCCCCTGAGGGGAACCCCACCCCGACGTGCACGTCACCCAGAAGTGACGCGACCATGCCGGGCACACTGGGGGCACACATGGTCATCCAAGGGGAAACTCTATGGTTTTCCTTCGGATGGTCGTGGCCCCGCCCCCAGCGTGCCCGGCGTCGTCACGTCACTTCCGGGTGACGTGCGTGCAGCGTGTGCTCGCTTCGCACGCACGTGTTCCAGCCACCAGCCGGGAGTCCCCTGCTGCAGCTAAAAAAGCACTTGGCAACCCTAGCCATAAAAGGTAAAGGTAAAGGTTCCCTTGCTCGAAAGCCAGTCAAATCCGACTCCAGGGTTGCGGTGCTCATCTCCGTTTCAAAGCCGAAGAGCCAGCACAGTCCGAAGACGTTTCCGTGGTCATGTGGCCGGCATGACTAAACACCAAGGCGCACAGGACGCTAGCCATATCTATGCTTAAAATAATTGAATTGCATAGGTTTTCCTAAAAAAAAAAAAAAAAAAACCTCTGGGAAATGACATTTTTGTAAGCATTTGCAGAATTTCCCTCACAGAATCCCAGTTTTCATTGTTCCTTATATGAAAGCTAGGCCTACTCAGCTACTGGGTTCCTTTTTACTTTCCTGTTCACCCAGTTTTGCTACTTAGCCATTTTCCTGTGTGTAAGATATTTGCATAGGGCTGCAGTGGTTCAGAGGTTAAGACGCTGTAGCTCGGCAGTTCCAGACCTGAGTGCCACGTGGCAGAGTGAGCTCCCATCTATGGCCCCATGTTAAATAGTGGGTTCCATGGATGAGCAGACTCCAAGTCTAGTGATCAGCTCTACTTTATTAGTGATTTCAGCAAGTACAAGACTAAGACTCCAGGGTCACAGCCCTGTTTAAATAGCATGCAATTGCCACACCCAAACACACCCCACTCCCAACGATAGGCATAACATTACTTCTTGATTGGTTACTTCCAGAGTCCTGGTGGGCTATTGTTTTTGGGTTCCAAGCTCAGCCAGTCTCAGGTAGAACAGTCCTGGGATGTTTCAGTCCCAGTACATAACACCCCAGCTCCCGCCAACCTAGCAGTTCAAAAGGAAGAAATTGCAAGTAGATAAATAGGTGCTGCTTTGGTGGGAAAGGTAACAGCATTCCGTGCGCCTTGGCGTTTAGTCATGCTGGCCACATGGCCATGGAAAAAGTCTTCAGGCAGCGCTGGCTCATCGGCTTGGAAACAGAGATGAACACCACCCCCTAGAATTGGATTCAACTGGCTTTCGAGCAAGGGAAACCATTAGTTTTACCTTTACCTAAGATATTTGCAATGGTAGCAAAATCTTCCATTAAGACTCTCACACAAGGACAAACTGAGAGCTGTATTTACTAAGACACAGCATTCTCAAAGTAAAGCTAATGCAAAACACTGAACAACAGATTCAACATAACAAGCAGCTGAGTGGAACATGATTGCAGATTCACTTAAACACATTCAGGTATGTAAGAGTCATCCCCCCCAACCCCCAAATGCATTATGTGAAGATCAGCAGAAGGTATAGATTATAAAGCAGGTCCTTCAGGTGGCTTGTGCTTTCTCCTGTTCAGCTCTATGTGGTGGTTCTACATCTGTGGAGCTGTCTTGCTGAGGCACGTTTACTGTGGATGGTTCCCCCGGCTGCTCCACAAGAGCACCTTCTAGTACAGGTGTGTCAGAACTATCCCCCACCTGGACTGCAGGAGATGGTGTCATGGGTTATTCTGAGCATGTTGGTCCTATAATATGCGTGAGCAGCATTGTGACGTGCCAGTAGGAACTGTGCTAGCACCTGCTGCAAAGAGTCAAGGTCAGCTGCCATGGATTTCAAGGTTGTTTCAAGATTTGTACAAATCTTTCTACCAATCCATTTGTGTCCGGGTGATATGGTTCTGAAGTAGTGGTTTTGGATTTCACGCAAAACACTTCAGGCTATTTTAAATGAGTATATACAGCTATCAGAAACAGTTACAGGTGGTCAGCTGTGTTGGTCTGAAGCAGTAGAACAAATTTAGAGTCCAGTGGCACCTTTAAGACCAACAAAGGTTTATTCAAGGTATGAACTTTCATGTGCATATACACTTTTTCAAATACACTGGAATGGAAGATATCATTCAAACTTATAGACAAGCTGAACAGCAAATTTACATGTAACATGATAAAGATGTTTGAAGTTATGCAAAAACACTAAATAACAAGCTAAGGTTATAAAGTCAACAGTTGTTTTGACTTCATTAATGGGAGAAAGCAATAAATATGTCAAAATAGAGAATAAGTGTGTAAAGGCATATTTTCTAATTGTGGGAAGTAAACTGAGACTCACCATTCATTCAGGCATGGAGGTAACTTAACAGCATTTTTTTAAAAAATGGGTGTAGTGGTATGTCAGCAAAATATCCCAGTATTCCTTGCATTACATTCAGTATTCTAATGTACTATTCTGAAAAAGAAATACACTAAAATACAGAGGATGTATCGTCCTTTTTGCTGAGAATACATATGTGAGGACTGAATGAGTTAGCATATGTAATGAGATAAGAAACCAATATCCCTGTTGAGTCCTGGGGAGGTTTTTGTTCCAAGCATTGTAATAACTTGCAATTCAGCAGTTTCCCTTTCCATTCTGCTCTTGAAGTTCCTCTGTAATAAAACAGCTACTTTGAGGTCGGGTTCCTTCCCTGAGAATGAACTCTAAAGCCTGAGTTTCAGGGCCAAAGCCTAGTTTAGAATGATGGAGTAATGGAGCATAAAACACTAAAACAGAGTCAAGTTCTGGATAAAAGAGCTGGTCCAATAGGAGTGTTCCAAACTATTTGTAGATTTCTCTGGTAAAACGTTTGGGATTTTGAGCCATAAATAGCATACAGCCAGAATGGTATAATGGTCAGAGTGTAAGGTTACTGGTAGACCCATGTTCAGATCCCCACTCTGCCTTGGGAAGTTGCTGTGTGACATTGGGTCAGTCATATATACTCTCAGCCTAATTTACCTCACAATGTGGTTGTGAAGATATGATGGAGGAGAACAATATATGTTGCATTGGTCCCCATTGTGGAGAAAGGCAAGGTTTAAATCGAGTAAATGAATAAATAATTTTATTACATTTCTGCAAAAATAAAAGATATATCTGCCTATGTTGCATTGAGGGGGATATCTGCATTTTGGATATAATCTCACGGCTTTTTGAAATACAGAAAGTGGTAAACCACACTGCAAGTTCTCTCTAAGCTTTGGATACAAAAGTGAAAGTGAAGAATGTAAAGAAGACTAGAAAGTTGCTTTTGTTGTTGTACCTTCCTTAAAAGGAATTCATTGCAGTCCTTTGGCATTTGATAGCTGCTGGAAAGATTTCTTCATTCTAGTTTATTTTTATTTATTTTTGTTGCAGGTTTTCCTGGCCTTCCAGGGCCAAGAGGAAGAAAGGGATCTTCTGGGGGAAAAGGTGAGCCAGGTGATAAAGGTTCTCCTGGAATATCAGACTCGAGAACGAGCTTTGGAGACAAAGGCGAACCAGGAGCCAGAGGTACACAGCAGTTTACATTTACATTTACAAAGTTACTATGGTTTTGTTATCAGGATTACACTTCTAATGAATTTTAAATTTGTGGTAAAGTTGCAGGTTTTAAGATGTTTATATTTAAGAAGCACATGTAAATATTTACTTAAACAAAAATATAAAAAGATGCACATATCCCATTTCTGAATGCTGTTAATGCTAGAATAACAGTGCAATTATAAACAAGATTATATCCTACTTAACCTGTTGACTTCAATGGGTTTAGGAGAAAGTGACTCTGTTTAGAATTACACTAGTTGATACTATTTGAATTACAATATGATGTCATGTTATCATTTGAAATAAGGTGAGATATAAATTGTGCCATTCCTTCATTAGGTTTCTACATTACCAGGTTTTAGGTACTCATAGAAACTTCCTTGATTGCTCATTCTTTTAGCGGCATTTGTTTATTCTGTTTAGTTATTGGTTTGGCTTCTTACTTTTTGTTATTACGTTTAGTTATTTTTGTGGATTGCTTTCAGTTGTGTTCTTTCCTACCTTGGAGACCTGCTGCACGTAGAATGACGATATAAATACTTTAAATAAAATGCAAATAGTTGCACAAAGCTAGGGAATAATACTTCAATCTGTGCAGGTTTTGCTTGCCTGTTATGTTGAAGTGAGGGTGCTGCTGATGCTGTTTTTCAATTTAAGTCTTGTCACTGCTGCTGTAGGGATGCCTGGAAAAGTGGGACTCAAAGGAGAAAAAGGACAGCAAGGTGCACAAGGATGCATAGGTCCTCATGGGCCTCCAGGAACACCAGGCCCATCAGGTATATATAGCTTTTCTTATAAGTCATGGCCCGGACCGTAAATTGCCATTCCTTTGGCATAACAGGAGTTCTGTTGACATAATCAGCATTTCCATTTGGGGAGGAGGGGAGGGGAATTTTCATCAGTTCCCTGTAGACCCCTCACATTCCCCACCCCACACTGTTCTTTTGGATCCACTGAGCCACAGGATTACATTGCAAAGAAAGCTACAGTGGACGACGGGAGGTGGTGGAGTTGCCTTCCTCTGTTGTGACTCCACTGGCACTGCTTAGGGTCTTAAACAGTCATGCCAGCCATGGGAAAGAACACTGGACCATATAACTCTTTTAATTTTATTTCAGTTGTTTAATGTTAAGATAAGTGCCACTTTATATAACAAAAATGGCTCAAGATGGCATTGCCAGAATTATCCATGCTTGTGCCCGCTGTGGAATGAAGAATCTGTTTTATGGATAAAGCTGCAAATTTATGATACAGGCAGATTAGTACTATGAAGCATTCCTGGAACATGATCAGAATGCATGTTTTTAAAAATAATAAACTCCATAAAATTCCTTTTAAAAATAATCACGAGACTACAAGACTGTACAGTACAGTAATGTTTGGTTATATTCAACAACACAGTGATTAGGGTAGTGTAGGGTGGATGCCGGGGTCTCCTGCCAGCAGGCCCCACCGCCCCACCGCCGATCAGCTGGCTGGTGGGGAAGACTCACCCCGAAAAACAGCGAGGCCCAGCTGACATTGCAGCGACGTGTCTATGTCACTTCCAATGTGACCCAGAACTGACATAATCATGTTCGTGATGACAGGGCAATGCTTTGGTATTTGGGCAAAAACTCTATGGTAGAAGCCAAATTGCCCATAGAGTTTTGGCCCAAATACCAGAGTGTTGCCCCCAGTGTCACTGAGTGATGATGTCACTTCTGGGTCACATCAGAAGTTATGTAGACACATCGCTGCATGTCGGCTGGGCCTCCCGCCTGCTCCCAGTAAGTCCCCCCATATCCCTCGCCAGTTGCCAGGAGGGACCTGGCAATCCTAAATTAGGGGATATCATGGGATGATGAGGGGGGGAAACTCTCTTGACCCTTCCTCCACCATTTCATTTTCTTCTGACTAGAACCAATTTATAAAGTGAAAGTTGGATCCATGCCATCCATGGATGTAGGTGGACAATCAAATGAATGAACCTGCCCTACATATAGTCATGGTGATCTGGCATTCATTTACGCTATTGCAGGCTGCTTTTTTAGCCATCCAGTCATGAAAAGGGCTGCCAGGTTTCAATGGCTACATCTGTAGACAGAGCCAGGGCATTAAATTTGACTGTGCTCATGAATGGCATTCCAGGGCAGCCAGAACACTGTCACATCTGAGGATACACTTCAGGCATCTCATGAAGTGGATTCTGATCCATAAAACCACATACCACAATAAATGTATTAGCCTTTGAATTGTCACAAGGCTTCTTTCTGTTTTTGTATAATTATATTATTCTGAAAAACAATGCAGGCAGTGACTGCTATAATATATGAAAATATTTGGAAAACATAAATCTGTGTATTTTATAAAAGGTATTGCACAAGAATTTTTGTTATTATACGATCTTTTTCACAGTTTTTTGTGTTAAATAGAATATTTTGAAAGATAATGTTTTTTGTGTGTGAGGAGTATCCATCTTAATATGTGTGATTGTGTGATTGTTATCTGCCACTGACTATCATAGTATGATATAATTGAGGTTAAAAAACAAATAAATAAACACTCTTTAAATAGCAGTTTAGATTAGTCTGGGGGGAAAGGCATTTTAAAACAGGTATCACTGCACTGTGCTTTTGTCTTCCAGTTCAAACCTATAGGATGATAGAGGTCTGCTGTCTTCCATTATAAGCAGCAATCCTGGGTGTGGAAAGACTAGGTAGCCAGTGCAGAAGCAGCGGAGATCATGTGCTAGGAAGAAACAGGAAATTATTTTTATTCGTTTGGATGGTATTCTAACAAAGAGAATTCCATCATAAATATCCCAGCTAATTCTAAAGTGTGTTTAAAAAGCATGCAATGTCAACTCTGATTACACTTTCAGGTTCCAAAGGTGATAAAGGACTTCCTGGAATTCCTGGGGCACAAGGGCTGCCAGCAGCCCCAGGAAACAGAGGGGACATGGGAGTACCAGGTATCTGAATGGTCACCATGGGGCCAGTTCTGTAGTACCTACTTGAGTAACAAATACACTGAATTCATGGCAATGTTTCTAAGGTCTGAAATGAAAAATGGCTTCTTTTGACTTGCTGTGATATGGTTATCATCCCTTCAGAAAGATTACAAATAACCTAACACTATCATTGCAGGTCCTAAGGGTGAACAAGGTTCTTCAGGTTTGCCTGGACATGTAGGTATACCAGGGCCACCTGGCCTTGTTGGCATTCCAGGGGATAAAGGAGAACCAGCTTGTGCTACAACAGGAAATCCAGGACCCAAGGTACAGAGAGCAAACACTTGCTTTGCTGGGACCACATACTGCTTCATAGACTGGTTATTTTTTGCTGCAATGAAAGTAAAACACATTTCATTGATGCATCATAGGGTGATCCAGGTCCCCCAGGAGAAAGAGGAAGAAAAGGTGAAAGTGGATCACCAGGCCTACCAGGCCTTGTAGGAGAGCCTGGACTTCCTGGGAACAGAGGGGATTCTGGTATACCAGGAATTCCAGGTAAAATACCGTTTTTCACCAGTGCAGAACAGTGGACTAGAGAAGAATTTCTTCTAAAATTATACACAGAAAACAGCTTTCTCCCTTGAAGGGGTGCTAATTATTAGAGGATTTTTATGAGAAGGCAGCATTTCAAACTGATTGGTCACACTGATCCTGCTTGATCTATTTGAACTAACAATTACTTTCCTAGTGATCATCCCTATAGCATGTGTCTAATGCTAAAAAAATGCTCTATGAAAGCACCCTAACCAGAGCAGTATAAAGCTATATAAATGTGTTTTAATCCTTTACTTGTAAGTTGCCTTGAATGCTATTTTAGTGGAAAGAAGAGCTAGAAATCTTCTAAATAAATAGATGATATTTCTTCTTTTACAAGTGATTTTTAGATTGGTTGATTCAAAGGTACCTTTCCACTCACAGATAAACTCTTTCTGCTTACAGAAAGACACTTTCCGTGAGGGGAAGATTCCTTTTGAACATAAGAACAGCTTGAAATCCAATCCTGAATATTTGGGGATACATTTTGGACCTAGACAGTAGGGATGGGCAAGGATCGAAAAAAGGTGGTTTGGTTTGAGGTCCATGGTGGTCCACAAAGGGGGGGAGCAAAACCAGAGGGTTAAATGAAGCCCCTTCCAGGGCAATCCCCCCATTTCTCCCAGCTGCTGTTTGCCATGGCTGGGAGAAATGGGGAAAGGAAGCCCCTTCCCTGGCAGTTCTTCCCTTTCTCCTGACTGTGGCAAGCCACGGCCAGGAGAAAGAGGGGAACGGTACTTGCCGGACCAGTTTGGTGCATGTGAGGCCAGTTCGGTTTGGGAGAGGTCATCAGGAGATTTGGGCTGCAGTGTCACTGATATGCGGATGATACCCGGCTGTACCTTTCTCTCCCACCTAATTCCAAGGATGCTGTTAATGTTCTGAACTGGTGCTCGGAGTCAGTAATTGGCCAAATGAGGGTGAACAAGCTAAAACTTAATCCTAACAAGACAGGTTCTCTGGGTTAGCAGAAAGGCAGACCTGGGACTTGAGATCTCTTAGTCTTGGATGGAGTATACTCCTCTTGAAAAGTCATGTTCACACCTTGGGAGTGCTACTTGACACAGCAGTCACCTGCGGTGGTTCAGAGCACTTTTTCCTAGGTTTGCCCAGGTTTGACTGGTGCATCAACTGTATCCGTTCCTGGTTCAGTCAGATCTAGCCACAGTGATCCATGCCTCAGTTACATCTAAACTGGACTATTGCAATGCACTCTTTTTGGGGCTACCCCTGAAGAGTGTTCAGAGGCTGCAGCTAGCACAGAACTCTGCATCTAGAGTGCTGGTTGGGGCCTGCTGTCAGGAACATGTGACCCCGATATTACAGCAATTACACTGGCTACCGATAAACTCCCAAGCCCAATTCAAGGAGGTGGTTTTCACCTTCAGAGACCTACATGTCATGGGACCAGGTCATCTGAAGGACTGTCTTCCCCCTGTTTGGGAATTAAGATCACAGGGAGAGGCCCTCCTGACTGTCCCATAAATCAAAGACGCTTGTTTGGAGGGAACACAAAAGAGGGCCTTTTCAGTGGCAGCTCCACAAATATGGAACAACCTTTCCAGGGAGGTGTACCTGGCCCCAGTCTTTAGCAGGCAGTTGAAGATGGTTTTAATTAGGACTGATTTCTTTTAAGTTTAGTAGCAATCCTGAATAGTGATTTTAAGTTTTGGTTTTATGTTTTTAATGTGTTTTATCTATGTGTTTTTGTAAGCCGCCTTGAGCTCTGCAAGTAAGAGAGACGGCTAATAAATATTCTAAACATATAAATGCAAATACAGAAATGTTTATTTATATATATACTCATCTTGAAAAGTCATGCAATGACCCACTATGGTCATTGAGACTATCAAGTAAGGATTGCAGTCCTAATATTAAATCACACAGAATATAGATGGCTATAATATAAATTAATATATTCTCATGGAATTAGAGCTGCTTCAAATTATGCTTTGCTTTAAATGTGAGGAAGAATTCAGATACTTTACTCAAAGATCCTTCTTTTATTATTCCTGCAAATGATTTATACCTTCTTCTGTGTACAGGGCATCCAGGATGTGCAGGTGATAAGGGTGATAAAGGGAAGAAAGGATTATCAGGACAAAATGGCATCAGAGGTCCTCCAGGTTTGTGAATTATTAGCTATCCCACTGGCAGTGGTTTTTTTAAAAAAAGTTTGTATTTTTACTTTTATGCCTTTTTCACTGTGATGATCTCTGTATAATGAACAAGAACCTACTTTTTTTCTTCAAGTCCCAATGAGGTCTCAGATTTTTTCAATGCAAAGCAAATAGTAGTTAGGCCTTAGAACAGACCTATAAACCTTGTGATCCATCAAGCCAGATGCACTAATTTGCCATGATTGTGCCTGCTTAGATGCCTGGCAAACTTTCTATATTTGCAGGCCTATCGAGCAGTAAAAAACAGGAGGTATGTCAAGCCCTGGTAGGTTACCACACAGGACTGGTGTTTGGCCAGGTGGCTCCCAGTTTGTATAGGTTTGCTTTAAAGGAATACCTTTAAATACTGTTTAGGAGCTGCGGTGGCTCAAGTGGTTAAGACGCTGAACTGCAGGCTGTGGAAGGTCAGTAGTTCAACAGTTTGAGATCCGAGTTGCTGCATGACGGAGTGAGCTCCCGTCTCTGGCCCCAGCTCCTGCCAACATAGCAGTTCGAGAGCAAGAAATTGCAAGTAGATAAATAGGTACGACTTAGGTGGGAAGGTAACAGCGTTCCGTGTGCCACAGCGTCTAGTCATGCTGGCCACATGACCACGGAAACGTCTTTGGACAGCGCTGGCTCTTCGGCTTTGAAACGGAGATGAGCGCTGCAACCCTAGAGTCGGACTCGACTGGCTTTTGAGCAAGGGAACCTTTACCTTTACCTTTAAAGGAATACCTTTGGAGATGGTCACGGGTTATCAAAGTCTAGAGTGAAGCTTACCAGTCCTGTCTGAAGGAGATCTAAAAATCCTACTAAAGCTTACTCATTGGGGCTTACTCATATGAATGTGTAATTAGGATTATTCAACAGTAGAAATAGCCAAAAATTAGCTCTTCAGTTTAACATTTGTGTAAATGAAGCTACTTTCATGGTCTTCATGAAAACTTATTAGGCCAGCTGAAAATATTTATCATGAGTAGCTGGCCATACCTCTCCAGCCTTTCTTTGAAACAGATTTTTTTGGACCCATTTTAGTCTGATTTCAGACGTGGCTTTGATCTTGGTTGCCCTGGAGAGAGACAGAGAACGTGTGCCCCTACTGATTCCCTTCAACCTCTCATCAGTATTTAATACCATCGATCACGATACGCTTCTGGACTGGCTGGCTGAAGTGGGAATCAGGAGCCCCATGCTCTTGTTAGTTCCATTCTTATCTGGTGAACCAGTGCCAGAAGGTACTGTTGGGGGAAAACAGTTTAACCAATCTGAAATGCAGAATCTCATCAGGTTATATTCTGTCCCTGTGCCATTTAACCATCTATGTAAAGAAAAACAGGAGAGGTTGTCCAAAGATTTGGATGGAGGGATCACCCAGCTTTGTTTCTCCTTTTCTGTTGTCAATTGAGAGGCACTGGGTGTTCTAAGCCAGTGGTAATCAGCTGGGTGAGACCCTATAAACAGAAGCTTAGTCCAGAAAAGACTGAGGTGCTGATGGTTAATAATGAAGTCTGGGTTTACGTGGTCAACCTGTTCTGGCTGGGGTGGCTATCTTCCTTAAAGATTTGATTCATAGCTTGGAGGTGCTGCTTGATCCAGTGGAGGTAAAGATCTCTTCTGCAACACATAGCACCTTTCATTAGTTTTGGCTGGTGCACAGTTGTGACCCTTCCGTGAGAGGCCATGGGTCATCCATGTTCTGACTCCCTGGATCTGGGGCTGCCTTTCAAGACTGTTAGGAAGAAAGTACAAATGTTAAGGACCACATTGTGTCAATTTTAAAAGATCTCCACTGGCTACCAATTTGCTTTTGGGCACAGTTCAAAGCATTGGCTATTACCTATAAAGCTTCACATGATATGGGACCAGAGTACCTAACCTTATCCTATAACGGATCACCTTATCCTATAACGCCCTGCCTGCTGATTAAGAGTCTTTTCTGAGGCTGTGCTCCCAATGACAGATATAAGGTGGGTGTGCACCAGAGATGAGGTCTTATCCATGGTGGCACCAAAACGGTGGAATTCTCTCTCCACAGAAGCTTGTCTGGCACCATGCTTGTCCTGGCTTCACGTTTATGGCTGTGTCTTTTAGGAAAATTGTACCTTTAAGATTGCTGTTATTATTTTTATCCTGATGCTCTTTTAAGAGGTTTTTAATTTTAATTTTCAGGTCGCATTATTTATACATAATTGTTGCTTGTTTAATTGTCATTTCAGTCTTATTTTAGCTACCTCAAGTACATTTATATAAAGAATTTTAGAAATATTTGAAATAAATGGTGTAATTACCATAAGCAGTGGTGATAAGCAATGGTAATTACCATAAGCAATGTTAATTACATGATCATGAGACCTGTCTGTATTACCCAAATAGGCAGTCTCCTAATTAGTTGGAGGAATTAGCTTTAAAGCGACAGAGTGTGAGGGGGTAACTGTATATGGGGATTTTTCCCTAAGAGAACTCTCAGATAAACCAGGCAGATGTTCAACCAGTAAGCTTTTTATTAAAGGAAAGAATAAAACAAAAATGCACGCAATAAACACACACACAAGAGCTAACTATGAGGAAATCAGGGAGGGAAGAGAGAAAACTTTTTGGGGGGAGGGTACTATTTACCAGCCTTTCAGAGGTCTGGCAAGCAGCAGCAAAATGGCCAGTGTTTCATGAAGAGAAGAAACCCCATGGAGTGGGGGTGTGGCCAAGAACACACACATTACACTGGTGGTTAGGTGCTCAATATAGGGCAAAATGCTCCCTGGGGCAAACTGATGTGTTTGCCAGTAAAACAATAACTTAATGGGTTTCTCCTGAGTTGGACAAAAAGATGGGAGAGGCTTGATGGGTTTTCCTGAGGTGGACTATAAGTGTAAATGGCCCTACAAGTACCGGATAAGACCTGTACCTTGATGACCCTGCAAGTACTGGATGGGAAAACCTACTACGTTGGGTGAATAGAATTGAGTGTTGATTAATTGTTGCTTGATTAAGGTAGGTGTAATAAGGAGGGAAATTGAACAAGACTGAGTGAAAAAGCTGAATTGATCCAACCCAGAATGATGCAAACTTGTATCTGTGTTTTGTTAGTGATTTCTGCAAGCAACATCTTTTTACCAGAGTTAACATCGTTTGTGTAAATTTAACAAATGGGTACAATTTCCAAGTACTGTGCTTTCAGAAACACATGATTTTTTTTTAACAATCCTCAGGTTCACCTGCATTACCTGGTGATGATGGACCTGCTGGTGAGAGGGGTGATCAGGGGCGTGATGGTATTCCTGGCTCCCCAGGTGAAAAGGGAGCACAAGGTATCTTTCCCATGTATAACTTCTGTTCTATTATTAATCTGCTTTATTCGGTCATGGATTGTTATGGGATTTATGCCATTCCAAAATAATTTTAATGTTGAAAACTGTCCCTTTAAAAATCAGGTCCAGAATTCTGGGGAATTTTCAGATCCATCTTTGCATATGGAAGAGGCATCTTTCACCAGCTTTGATTACTGGGCAAACTGCATCCTGCTCTGGGAACAGAAGATACAGCCACAATTTTCGATGCATTTTTCACACCAGTTCATTAATTATTGCAGTGCATTGTTCACGAGGCTGTACTTCAAATGCATTCAGAAACTTCAGCTGGTCCAGAATATAGAAGTCAGGTTGTTTTGGCTGAGGAACACTGAAGTGGCTATATCGAACCAATATGGAAAAATATTCATTGGTCACCTGTCTGTTTCTGGGGTCAGATCCAGGTGCTTGTTTTGAACTATACAGCTATTAAAGTTCTTGAAACCAGGCTGTTTTTTCTCATATGAACTTGCCTGGGAACTAAGATCTTTGAAGGCCATTCTCTGTAAACTCTGCTGGGTATGTAGCTTTGGCTAAGAATGCCTTCTCTGTGCTGTTTCCTGAGCTCTGGAGCTTCCTCCCTAAAGATATTTACCTGCTACCTTATCTACTAGTGCTTGGGGGGGGCAACAGTGGGAGGGCTTCTAGTGTCCTGGCCCCACTGCTGGGCCTCCTGATGGCACCTGGTATTTTTGGCCACTGTGTGACACAGTGTTGGACTGGATGGGCCATTGGATGGTCCATTGGCCTGACCCAACATTGGCTTCTCTTATGTTATTATGTTCTCTTATGTTCTTAAGCACCAGGCTAAGTCTACACCCCTCATGCCCAGGGTTTTAAAAATTGGTTATGATCTTTTCCACTATGATTTTAGGGTTTTTAGAAAATACCTTATTGTCTTTTTCACCTTTTTATTATTAGACACTGTAGTCATAATCAGAGTTACACCCTTCTAAGCCTGTGAAGAGTGTGACTGTTTATGATTGCACCATTACTGTCATTTTATTGCATTGATTTTAATTTAATTTTTATTTTATTGCATATAATTTTAATTATGTAATTTGTTGAAGACTTAGTCTAAGGAACATTTTATTTAACTATGACTAGTAATTAAAGATCTTTTTGGTCAATATAAAAATATTATTCTACAGGTTCTCCAGGCCAAGGAACTCCAGGTTCTCAAGGCCTACCTGGTCCTAAAGGTAAGGTGATATTTTATTGTTGTTTTGTGTCAAGCACTGTGGGGAAATGCATTTTCTTTTGAGATATCAACTTCTAAGCTTACAGAGCTTGCTCCAAGGTAATGGGAAGCATTTAGAACTGTGGAACTTCCAAGCTTAAAGAGCCTGCCTTAGAATAAAACTAGCTAGGGCATGCACAGAGTTGAATGACAGAGAATTTCCAAAACTATCCTTGACCCTAAGATGGTGTTATAAAAGAAGGGAAATGACACTCTTGGGAAACTATGGGCATTCCAGCAAAAGAGGCCATGGGAATTAAACCACAAAGAGGCAAGAGGAAATGTGTGGTAGCAAATGCAGGTAATACAACCATTCCTGTAACAAAGAGGCTTTTTGTAACAGAACTTTACATAATCTTTCTGTGAAAATATTTGTTCAAGATTTGCATTTCAAAGTACGCTTAAAATGTATTCTACTTTGACAGAATTCTACCTGTTAATGCCATTTTTTCTCAAATATCTTAAAGCTAACACGTAGCTTTCTAAATATTGTTTAGGTATCAAAGGAGATATGGGAATGGCTGGTTTTCCAGGGCTGCAAGGTGTTAAAGGTCCTATGGGGGACCAAGGACCAAGCGGACCTCCTGGTTTACCTGGGCAACCAGGACTTCCAGGGGAACCAGGGACAGTGATTAGTGGCCCAAAAGGAAATAGAGGCCCTGCTGGCCCAAATGGAAAACCAGGTAGGAATAAGTGATAGGTCTATTCTTATTTAATGTTACAATTATATCCATTGTGAGAGTATTCACAAGATTTAATAGATTTGTAGGCTATCTAGTTTTTAAAAAGAATAAACTCTGTAACTGACCTAATTGTGCAGTTGTACATGTTTGCACATATGTGCCCATTCTATGTGTTTGTGTGTATTTTGTAGCCTTGGGTACTGAAACAGAAAGCAGAAATATATGAAAGAATATTATGATTGATACAACATTGCAGCATGATTCATTTGCAAAGAGGCACGAGAAAATATGTTGTTAAGTAGTTTATGAGAGTTCTGTTAAATGTAAAAACTCCAACACTTTAATAGATTAAAATCCAACACTTTTAGCAAACCCTATAAGTAATTTAGGATTTACTGTACAGTGGTGAGAGCCGGCTATGATGGATTTTCTGGTCTGACTGAAATTCTGCATCACAGAACAAATTCTGTGACTGGTGATGCATTCTCAACGATGGGTACTGTTGCACCCTCAGTCCTTACTACTGATTTTTAACTGACATGGATTATTTATTTATTTATTTATTTATTTATTTTTGGGATTTATATCCCGCCCTACCCATACGGCCCAGGGCGGCAAACAAGCGGCTGTGCCGGAGATAAAACATAAATTACAATTAAAACCTCAATAGATACAAACTAAAATGGTGCTATACAGTTCAATTTATAAAATTTATTGCCCTGACTATAGTTAGGATAGTGATAGATTTAACTGCTGTTCAGGACTCAGTGTCAAAATGGAACACTTAAATAAGCATAGAATGAATTAATAAATGAATAACTTAATAGAAAGTCAAATGGTACACAGTTTGTATAGGATTCCTTCTTTAAATCATAATTCCTAATTCCCTTTATTAATCCAGCTCTTTAAATGTAGGTGTTCCTGGTATTCCAGGGCCTGCTGGGCCACCTAGCTACAGTATTAAAGGCAGTAAAGGTGATCGGGAAACAGATGGATTACCAGGACTTCCAGGACCTAGAGGTGATATGGGTTTGCCTGGTCCCCCAGTAAGTAAAATTTCTTTACTTAGTTTAAATTATATGTTTTGGAAGGCAATGTATAATATATATTACCTATTCTAGCAAAGCATTGATGAAGTCATTGGCTCAAACAATATGTAGCTGAAGATTTCCTTTCATTATAGCTAGTCATCTCAAATGTTGCATCCTTTGAACATATTCACAGATCTCCCTGTTGGCTTTGCTCCTGTTGGAGAAATGATGAATATATCTGGCCAGATACAAAAATGAAAAATGACAGATACCTAGGCAATGCAACACAGAGTAATCTTAGATCATTGTTGCATTCCTCAATAGTGGTATATGCTAGATAATCTGAGCAGACACATAGTCCCAGCTCCACGTTTGTCAAGATACTGATTGGGGGGGAGAGGATTCTTAACTCCTCCAGTTCCTGCCAGTTCTCCCCTGCAAATACCACCTCCAAGGCTTTTTTCCCCCCAGGATGGGTATCAGAACTGGCATTGCTTGGCAGCTGCCAAAACCTGAGCAGCCAGGGAGGGCTCATTACCAACTCTGACCTTCTAGACTACAATAGCAGTCACCATTGCCTGCTTTCTTTCTCTGGGAGGCCACTGTAGGAGTGGGTCCTCTAGTCCCACCTCATTCCTGGTCCACTATCTGTGGTATAGCCATGATGCTCCTTCTTCTTTCAAATCCTGGAAAAAGCCAAGCAACAGTGTCTCTTATATGCGCAGCTGCAAACTTTCCTCATCCATTGCTCATTCACGCCCACAGTTGAGGGGATAGGTAACGGGGCAGTGAGTGGAGCACTGAAGACAGAGCAGGCCTAAGTGGGATCCAATCCTGATTATAAGGAGTAACTGCCACTGCTCAGAGGGAGAGAAGGCAGGCAGTAGCAGTGGTTGTCCCCTACCACTGCTGGGACTGAGCCAGGACTGAGCCTCCTTTGGGAGACTGGGCTCCCTCTAGGTCTGTAATGCCCATGCCCTGCCCTCTTCCTCCAAACTAAGAGAGTAGCATGTTCTGCTTATCAGTTACCTGGCCATGCAAGTGCTGGTGGATGCATCCAGAGGGAGAGGGCAGCTTGCACTGGCGGCTGTGCTGTTTGCTGTCACCAATCATTTGCCTGCCAGTGTTGGCCAAACAAGTAAGTGGTAATGGCAATGAAGAGGAACAGCAGCTGCTGCCACTCGCTCCCCTGACCTCTCTAAATGTGGTCGTTGATGCCACTCCTGCCAGCCATCACTGCTTGCTTTCCATGTGAGCAGTCTGCGGAAGCAGGCAGAAGTTGCTATCACCTGCTCTCTGCTGCTTTCAGCCGAGGAGTATGTTGCACTAAATTTACTAGAAAATCCAACTGATGGGCATCTTGCACAGGAACTCCCACAAAGCTGTGTTTTCCTCCAAATAGTGAACTTCCAGTTTTGGAGATGGCAGAGCTGGGAAACCTTTCAATCAACTGGAGAGGGAGGTCCTGCCTGCAAATTCTAGCTGTCCCATGTTAGCATTAAGAGGAAAATATGTGTATTTTCCTTGCAGCATTTAGTTCCACCCTCTACCAAAAAGCAAGCTTTCTTATTGTGGCAACTAAAAAGAATGCTGAAAAGGAAAGGGGTCTCCTAAACTCTGTACTCTAGTAATGTCCAGGTGTTTTCCAGATGTTTACATTACTACCAATATTTGGTCATGGGATTATGATTTTCTCAGTCTTTCTTGTGCTTATTTGCCTCCGTCCCCTGAACTTCTCAGAGAATCTGCTAAGTCTGGGTCCTTAAAACAGCCTACCTCATATATCCATTTTTATCTTGCTTGCAGGGAATTGATGGTATCCCTGGGTATCAAGGCCCTAGAGGTGAACCAGGTTTTCAGGGACCTCCAGGCAGAAAAGGTATACTTCTTTCTAAGAACAAAGTTGTTGCCCCTGTGTAATTATAGCAAAAGCTGCACAACAGGGGGCCCCGCTGACCAGGTAGTGATTTCTACATGCTTGGAAGGGTTCCTCCTGTATGCCAAAAATATGACCCTCCTGCCTTGCCCGGGGCCCGGAAGCCACCTGCATGATTGTGAGTGGCTGCATCTCCCTGGGCCTACTCTCCCACTGTGGTCAAGGTAATTACTGGGCAGGGCCAACCCTCCTTCCCTGCCCAGGGCCTGGGATACACCTGCATGGTTGCAGGTGGCTGCGTCTCCCTGAGAGCTTAACCTTGACCAGCTCCACCATGGAGCTGTGCATGGAAGGCAACACTCGCCAGCCCATGGTCCTCCTGGAGGGGATGGTGTAACAGGTAGCCACATGGTGCATCAGCCAGTGAAAGGCCATGTCCTCTATGAGGGAGAACGGTTGGCCATCCACAGCAATCATCTCATCAATGAGGCAAATGATTGTTTCCTGAGCCTTCCCCCTTGCCCTTTTTCCTGGCACTGGTAGTGTCCCTGTGAGCATGATCTCTTGGAGAGTGGCTTGCCTTATAGTCCCAACCATAGCACCTGGAGCTCCTTTCTGAGTGGCCTGCTCTTCCCTCCCCCCCCACCTCCCCCTGCTGAGTAGGAGTGGGCCTCTTCCACCTCCCACTAGTGGCCGACACTCCTTCCTCCAGCAGCGACAAACTGGGGTGTGCCTTTTGCAGGTGCCTCCAGAGAATGGTGGTGGCCAAGTGTTGTGGTCCCAGCCCCTACAGACATGGGCAAGGCACACCAGGCACTCCACCATGCATGGTTCACTCGCCAGGGTCCGGAGGTATTTCCATGAAGTGGAGTGGAAATGTGTATACAAGTCCATGGTTGGAGCAGGTGGGAGGCACGGCTGCTTCCTGGTGTTGGGCGAGGGAGTGCTAGATGGGGATATACTCTTTTTTTTCCCCAAAATTTTATTTAATTAAAACAATACAAACATGCATACTGAAAGATATATTACATTGTGTTTTCAATCAGTTTCAACTCAGTATCTGTACATCCCTCCAGATGTCTGGCCCTGGATTTTGAAAAGGGCCTTGATTCTATTAAAATTCCGTACTTAATGGCTCTTTTACATAAAATGGGTTTTGGAAACAACTTTCTATCAGCTCTTAGAAATATATATAAACAACCGAAATCAAGAGTAAGAGTTAACGGCATGAATTCATCTTTCTTCTACCTCTCCCGAGGTACTAGACAAGGGTGGCAACTATCACCGCTGATTTTTGCTATAGCAATTGAATCTCTGGCAGTAGAACTATGCAGAAATAAAGCATTTAAGGGAATCACAATAAATGGAGCAGAACACAAAATTACAAAGTATGCGGATGATATGACTTTATATGTATCAGAACCTTTGACATCAGTACCAGTCATCTCAAGCATCATAGACAACTTTGGAAGTATTTCGGGCCTTCAGCTGAATACATCAAAATCTGAAATATTTCCTATTGTGATGTCCAAGGAACGAAGGGAAAAGATACAACAGATCTTTAAATATAAATGGATTGAATCAGAATGGGATATACTCATGGAAGCAGGAGCAGCAGGGAGTTGGGAATCTTGGGATGTGGAAGGGGAGGATGCATCACCACCGCCACCCTCCAAGTCACTACCATAACTAACCTCCCTTCCAAACAGAGTTTTGTGCTGCAGCTTAGTCGGCAATGCCGAAGACTCTTGAGTAGCAGTTGAGAGCCTCATGGACATGGATGGAGCAGGGGAAATGGGTGCCGAGACCCCTGATGATTTGCTGGGGGCATCCTTCACTGGCAGGAGGCTGTGCTTTTGTTGCACATGACCACTTGGCACAGGGGAAAGTGATGGCATCCTCCCGTGGCCATGATCGTGACCCCTTCCACCCTGTCTCATGGTGCCAAACACCTGACCAAACAAGTACCCAACCCAACTGCAGCCCAGGACAGTTGATCAAGTGGCTCAGTTGCCAGAGAGGGAAACAGGCAGGCAGGGCAGCAGGCAGATAGGCACAGATAGATGCCTCCCACAGAGGAGAAGCAGGTCAGTTGGGGGGAGGTTTCAAACCAGGCGTGGAGAGCTGGACACCAAAATCACCCCAAGATACTCCCTGATATTGGAACAAGTCCCCCAAGGCAGGGTGGGTGCAGGGAGTCAGACTGACAAAATGGCAGAAAACTACGTTAAAGTCCCCCCAAAAAAGGAGCCCGAAAAAGCTAACCAATGAGTAATCCCTTGTCTTACTGCAACCCAAAGGGGGAGGGGGGAAACCACCAAGGAAGCAGACAGCAGGAAAATCCTGCTAAACAAATATGCTATGTGAAAGAGGAATTCAGTCCTAATTTTTCCACTCTTTGCAGCAAACAAACAAACAAAAGCCAAATCACAACACAGAGGACCCCAGGGCAAAGCAAAGCCCCCTGACTCCTGACTGAGGTTCTTTCTGTACTAGACCTTAAATCCTGGTTCAACCCTGTCCCCGAACTTACATTCTACACTACACTCGAGTTCACCCCTGTAATTATCTCGGGGTATTTTTTGTTTCCATATTACATTGAGGTCACCCTGGTTTCGCCCCACACTTGTCCCGGGATAAACGGATGCAGAGTAAGCAGTGAAGTGGCTAAATTTGCAGATGACACGAAGTTGTTCAGGGCAGTGAGAACCAGGGAGGATTGTGAGGCACTCCAAAGGAATCTGTCGAGGATGGGCGAGTGGGTGTCAACGTGGCAAATAGGGTTCAGTGTGGCCAAGTGCAAAGTGATGCACATTGGGGCAAAAAATCCTAAATATAAATACACAATGATGGGATCCGAACTGGCAGAGACTGACCAAGAGAAAGATCTTGGAGTCTTAGTAGATAACTTAATGAAAAAGTCGAGACAGTGTGCAACTGCAATAAAAAAGGCCAATGCTATGCTGGGGTTTATTAGGAAGGGAATTGAAAACAAATCAGCCAGTATCATCATGCCCCTGTATAAATCAATGGTGCAACCTCATTTGGTGTACAGTTCTGGTCCCCACACCTCAAAAAAGATATTATAGCATTGGAAAAAGTGCAGAAAAGGGCAACTAGAATGATAAAAGGGTTGGAACACTTTCCCTATAAAGAAAGGTTAAAGCACTTGGGGCTCTTTAACTTGAAGAAACGACGGCTGAGGGGTGACATGATCGAGGTTTATAAGATTATGTATGGGATAGAGAAGGTTGAGAAAGAAGTACTTTTCTCCCTTTCTCACAATACAAGAACTCGTGGGCACTCAATGAAATCGCTGAGCAGTCAGGTTAGAACAGATAAAAGAAGAAGAAGAAGAGGAGATTGGATTTATACCCCGCCCTTCACTACCCAAAGGAGTCTCAGAGTGGCTTACAAACTCCTTTCCCTTCCCCTCCCCACAACGGACACCCTGTGAGGTAGGTGGAGCTGAGAGAGCTCTGACACAAACTGTTCTTTTTCAAGAACAGCTGTGCCAGAACTATGGCTTGCCCAGGTCATCCAGCAGGTGCAAGTGGAGGAGTGGGGAATCAAACCCGGTTCTCCCAGATTAGAGTCCACGCACTTAACCACTACACCAAACCGGTGTACTTCTTCATCCAAAGACTGATTAACACATGGAATTCACTACCACAGGAGGTGGTAGCAGCTACAAGCATGGACAGCTTCAAGAGGGAATTAGATAAGCATATGGAGAAGAAGTCCATCAGTAGCTATTAGCCACAAGTTATAGATAGAAACTCTCAGGTTGGGGCAAGTGATGCACTGTATTCTTGGTGCTCGGGGGGGGGGCAACACTGGGAGGGCTTCTAGTGTCTTTGCCCCACTGCTGGACCTCCTGATGGCACCTGGTATTTTTGGCCACTGTGTGACAGAGTGTTAGACTAGATGGGCCATTGGCCTCATCCAGCATTGGCTTCTCTTATGTTCTTATGTTATAACCAGGAATAAATGCAAGGTATTGTGTCGCAGGTTGAGCTCTGATATAACCAGCAATGAGATCCAAGTGTGGAAAGGACCTGAGTAAGCTAGCTAAGCAATCCCCCCACCATGCCCAGCAGCAAAGCTCTTTCGCGAGTACACCTTCTCCATCCAAAACCACAACACCGACAAAGGGAGTGTGCACTCATCCTATACTTACATAGATCTGAGTCCCATTGCAATGAATAGGAACTCTGTTATTGACAAGCAGCAGTGCCTGTGAAGCTTTGAAAGGTCCGTATTTGTGTTTCCAAGGCTGGAAAACACCACCCCCACCATTTTTAACATTTTCATGCCAGAGTTTCTGGGTGCATTTCGTTTTCTGAACAGCCCTGAGACATACCCAAAAGCTCAGAGATTTCTTCAGAGATCACGTGCATGCCAAACATTGCCTCCCGAGGCCCAATACACCCTTCTACACCCACTGACTAATGGGCTTACAACTTTGTTTAGGACTGCATTGCACAGCACTGCACAAATTAGCTATGCGGGTTCCATTGTATTCACAAATGCTGTGATTTTTATAACCAAACTCGTGGCTAATTGCATTGGGTCATCTTTTCAGGAGAAAAAGGCAACCGGGGATCTCCTGGGCCAACAGGAATGGCAGGGCCTGGAGGGCCAAAGGGACCACCTGGTAACGATAGCCTCAGTCTACTTTTCCATTTTATCCAATTTGATATTTAATAAAAGGTAACCAGTTCCTGTTCATACCTCCATTGATAGGTCAGCCTGGACCACCTGTGCATGCTGTCCATTTCCCAGGAAATCCAGGACCTCCTGGACCCCCAGGAATCCCAGGAAATCCAGGTCCTCAAGGGTTATCAGGACCACCAGGTATAAATTTCACATTAGACAAGGATACTGCCAAGAGAAACATAGAAAAAGAGGGGAAATAATAATTTGGAACAATTCTATTATAGTTGAGTAAACATTTTGCTATAGGTCTAACTTCAGATGGGTAGCGTGTCATTGTAACTTGAGGATGTCAAATGAAACTCACACAACCAATCCCTAGTAAGCCTCATCTGAGTGGGGTTTTGAACCTGGTTCTTTCACATCCTAGTCTGACATTATGACTACTGTATCACACAGATACTTGAGTGCTGGCACAAAGCCACACATGTCAATGGCTGAGAAGTGTGTTTTGTGTCTATATAGCTGAGAATTGGTTATTCTCATGGATATTTCTGTGTAATTCAAAAGCTTGCACATCCCTGTCTTAGTAGTGGCTGATCCAGTATTTCAATACATAAACTTTGCCGCTGTCAAATGAGCCACAGCTTTTCAGAAAAGGCATAGATAGATAATACAATGTAGGCTTATAGCAGTTCGTAATCCACTGATTTTATTTTGTTAAAAAAATTAATAGCAATGTAGCAGTTTTTAAGAAATAAAATAAATACTAGTTTGATTTTCATTTCTGTAACAGCCAAAGTCAAGTTTGATTTTCATTTCTGTAACAGCCACAGTCACTGTTTGGTATTACAAATCCAACAGTTTTTGCTATCCTGCTCCTAGTTCCTTTTGAAACTGCTACTAGTGAGTGTTCCTAATTATAAACCCCGGGGGGTGTGTGTGATAGCATTCTAGGGGTTGCATTTAAAAAAAAAAAACCATTGATAAAAGCTGTTTGTTAATGTTTATTTTCCTACCTGAATCCAGGGCCTCCAGGTATGAAAGGTCTACCAGGCAGTCATGGGATTTCCGGTAGACCTGGACCCCCTGGGCCGAAAGGAGACAAAGGATTTAAAGGACAAAAAGGTAAACCTCCTCCCCCAAAGATATGGGCATCAACTAATAAAACACTTGTGCTGAAGCAATACTGTTGACTCCTTTGGCATTATTCCAGTGTTATCTATTTTGATGGCTCAAGACCTGAAACTCTTCTAGAGATCTTTTGCAGGATTTTAAAGCATTGCTCATTTATAACATACAGCCTGCTATTAGAATGGCATTGAAGTACTGCCAGAATTCTGTGTTTCTGACTGTAAATAATACAAGTGTCTATCAGACTGTGTGTTCCCTCGTTTTCAAATGATATGTGATGATGATATGGAACATACAAGCTGTCAGTGCCATCAGCAGTCCCAGCAAGGAATCCCTCAGTCAGGTTTTGTATGGGGGCAAACTAGATGAGACGCAAGACCTGTGTAATTAGGATTTCTTATACTTTGAGTCACTGCAAGAGGAAGTATATAACCCTGTTTTTCCATGCTTCTTCCACAATTGCTGCTCTGAAGATGGAGTTAGCTCCATAGGAAGAAACAGACAAGGACAGTGCTACACTTGGCCTTCTCCTCCCCCGTGCCAATGGCAGATTCAGAGCAGCTATCTAAGTTGTGTAAGAAGCATCGGAGGAAAAGGTTAAACTCCCCTCCCCAGTGAGTCTTCCCTAATCTTTAAAGCAGCCTTATGGAGCTGCTAACAAGTTTTAAAAACTCTGTGAGATATCCTAATACTGGAACTCTTGTGTCAGATCTAGTTAATATGGTATCTATTTATTAAGGGGGCATTTTTGTCAGTTTCCCTTCTTGCATTCTGCAGAGCTTCAGTAGGAAGGGGGAGGCAGGAAAAATCCACTCCACTACTTTATTCACAGTCTTTTGGCAAACGTTACATTTTCCAAACTAGAACAGATGCATACAGATAAGATGAAAGAATGTAGGTATATTTAAGGGATTCTTTGGGCTCATTAGAAAGAGCACTATGGCATAGAGTTCAGGGAAGCCTTCTGTACTTATTTCAGTGGCCAGTTGCTTCAGGTGGGATGAACCACTTTTTTCATACTATAGACACCATAGCAGTCTTCATATGTATTTCCTTGCAGATTAGATTCATTGTGGCACTTCAGACCTTTTATTATAATAGTGGACCACATTATTGAATACTCAGTATAATACCACAGAACAAAACCAGGGTCCTCCATATTTAATTCTCATGTTTTGATGTGGCAAACCTAGCAAAGGATGTGAATACCTTCTTTATCTTACGTAATTGAAAGGTCTTGATATTGCAATCTCATATTTGCTCAAGAATATGCACATACATACACATATGCAAAATATACTTTAATCCATTTATTTTTAATTTTTTTCATTCAGGTTTACCTGGATTGCTTGGTTTACCTGGTATAATGGGACCACCTGGACACCCAGGAATATACTTACCTGGCACAGCAAAAAGAGGCTTCATCTTTTCACGGCACAGCCAATCAGCAAAAATTCCTTTATGCCCACCTGGGACAACTGAGATCTATAGTGGTTATTCTCTTCTTTTTATACAAGGGAACGAGCAAGCACATGGGCAAGACCTTGGTACTTTTATAAATACATGCTTCAAATATATATAGATAAATATATTTATTTATTTACTTCATTTATAGCCAGCCTTTCTTGGTGAAACTCAAAACACATTACAATACAAAGAAACTCATCTAAAGAATTACACATCATAATGCAGAAAATGGGTTACAAAGCTAGAAGAAAATGCAGTAAAAAGCAAGGTTATAGACAATAAACACTGCAATAAACTACAATCTTATTGATATATCTAATTCTCAACATGGCCAAATCTGTGGTTACATAAATCCAGAGATTAGAACCATGAACAGATGAGATACATCTACAAACTTGGAAAAATGGCCCATATTTGCAGAAAAATCTGAAAGGCAAAAAAAAAATAAAAATTTAAAAAATTGGGGAGTTAAATCCACCAGAATAACACAAGCAGCAGCCCTCAGTAGGGTTGCCAAATGGGGCCGGGGGGCGGGGAATCCCCCGCTTCGGAGGCCCGATTTCCGCCACGGCGGAATCAGTCCCCGGGGGACTCCGCCCCCTGAAGTTGGGGGCGTGGCCCCCATTGTCAGGGGGGAAACCATATGGTTCCCCCCGACGATGTGGGCCACGCCCCCAACGTGAGCACGTAGCACATCACTTCCAGTGATGTGCTGCTGGTGCGCGCTTTGTACGCGCATCCATCTCAAACTCCCGGACCCCGGCGAGGCTCCCCCGCTCCGAGGGGTGAGTCGACTTGGCAACCCTAGCCCTCAGTGACTGCTGCTATGCACTCCCACGGTATTACCAGCCTTCATGCTTTGCTTTCTGTCAGTAAAAGGCAGGAGGGGAAAGGGGCCTGTCAGCAACAGCTGTGCAACTTGCTACCCTGTGACTTGCACAACTCACCCAGGCCCAGTTGCCTACTACTGTTCAACAGCAGCCACCCCATGAAAGCCACTGTGTTGTTTTGGTTACACTACCGAACTAGGATCTGGGAGATCCAGGTCTGACTCCCCACTCTGCTATAGAAGCTTACTGGGTGAACCTGGGCCAGTTACATATTCTCAGACTAACTTACCTCACAGGGTTGTAGTGAGGACAGCATGGATGAGAGAATGATATAAACTGATCTGCGTCTCCATTGTAGAGAAAGGGGGGGAATATACATGAAATAATATAGTTGAAGATGGGGACAGATAAAAGGTAGGTTGGTTGATGGGTGGGAAGGCAAGAAGGAAGCAGGGAAATGTGAGGATATGGGGGTTGCCAAGAGGATGGGAAAAGATAATGGCGTGGAGAAGGGGATACAGGGGGAATGAGGTGACCCCTGCAAGTTCTGAGGTGACCCCTGCAAGTTCTGAGGTGACCCCTGCACTGTGCAACTGGGCCTGGCTGGGTGGCCAGCACTGCACAGAGCTTTCCAGGGGGTGAAAGCTGCAAGGGGGAGTGAAGGAGGGAAAGCTGGAGACAGGAGAGCAGATAATGGTAGGTGGGGGGTGGAGAAGGAAGCAGGAAAAGGGTTCAGGAAAGCAAAAAAAAAAGTAGGGATGGGGAAATACGATGCTCCTCACAGGTTTCCCATGTATTCCCATGTGTTCTCCTGAGTTGTTCCATTACGCAACTGTTCTAATCACTTTATAAAAATTCCTTCCTGAACATTTATGTTTCACACATTGTGTCAAATGACCTTACGCAGGCCATTCCATACACAGAAGGTCTTTTTGCTGAATACAACTGCCTCAACTTTACTATGCAAAAGCAAACCTCAAAACATTTAACTTTCCCAGGAGATGATGCATATAGAACCAGTTCTGTGCAATAATCCTTTTGTAATTATTTCACCTGATAAAAACCTTCAGCCTGGAATCACACCTGACGGGAATTATTGTTTTTTGGACTTTGCACCTTCACTTCCCTATGTTCCATCTTAATCCCCTCTATGCTGGTTGTTTCAGAAAGTTTGTGAAGGACGCTACTAAATCATTAACTTCTCTTTCTTTCAACTGTTTTTTCCCCTCACTTTTTAAACTATAGCATCTTCATATCTTGTTCAATCACACTTCCTTAATTATAGTGCTTCCCAAGAATGTGTGGCTTTCCTCATAGACATGTCTTTTATTTGAGATTTTGAAACATCACAGCATCTCTTCTGAATCTTCTAGGAACAACAGGTAGCTGTCTTCAAAGATTTACCACCATGCCCTTTTTATTATGTAATCCCAGTAATGTGTGTAGCTTTGCTTCTCGCAATGACTATTCATACTGGCTGTCAACTGCAGAACCAATGCCAGCTGATATGGCACCAATTTCTGGGAAAGCTTTGGAACCCTATATTAGCAGGTAATATTTTAATGTCTTGGGGTGTTCCTTCTTTGATTGTATTCCAGAACAAATATTTCTTTTGATAAGGATATAACAGATTATGGTTTATTTCCCTAAACCCTATGGTATATCTAGTACAATTTATTAAAAAATAAATAAAGGGAGAATTTAAAATGAAATTATAAAATGGCAAAAAACAATTTGAATGAATAAAATAACTAATTTGTTTTCCGTTATTTTTTTCAAGTTACAGCTAGGAGTTGTGTTATACACTTCAGAATGAACATAGCCAGAAATGTTTTTTAAAAATTTACATACTTGTACTCAGTTTACATACATCCATTTAGTTTCAAAGTCTGAAATAATTTTTTCCCCCTTGCAAAGTACAGTTCCCATTTGGGCTGTTTTTCAAGGGGGCATGAAAGGTTGCAGTAAAGTTTGTGCAGCTACAGAATGCTCCAGCATACATTCAGGTGCCTTCGTCTTGTGATGCTTCCATCATTGGTACCTTGCATTCCAGTGGTAGTGTTCCAGAGAGTAACTATTCATAGACCAGCAAGGTGTAGTGGCTAAGAGCAGCAGACTCTAATCTGGAGAAACTACTCTGGAGAACTGGATTTGATTCCCCATTCCTCCACATGAAGCCTGCTGGGTAACTTTGGACTAGTCACAGTTCTCTCAGAAGTCTCTCAGTCCCATCTACCTCACAAGGTGCCTGTTGTGGGGAAAGAAAGAGAAGGCGATTGTAAGCCACTTTGAGACACCTTAAATTAGAAAAAAAGTGGACTATAAAAAACTCATCTTCTTCTGATGCTTCAACACCACTTTTTAACATGCCCTTTTCCATCCTAGTATCAGTGTGAGATCATAGTATATCCAACCTTGGCTACATGGTGATGACACTATTACTAGGAAAAGGGTTTTCTTAAACAAAAATGGTTTAAAATGCTGAATTAATCATCATCAGGAAAGCAGCACAAGGAAGTTGTGGTTAGGGATGGGCATGAATCAGCTCACAAACAAAAGTTCATGATCAATTTTGGCCAATTTGTAGTTCAGGTGGCTCAAGTGGTTAAGACGCTGAACTGCAGACTGTGGAAGGTCAGTAGTTCAGCGGTTCAAGACCCGGGTGCGGCAAGACAGGGTGAGCTCCTGTCTCTAGTTCCAGCTCCTGCCAACCTAGCAGTTCGAAAGCAAGAAATTGCAAGTAGATAAATAGGGACCACTTCGGTGGGAAGGTAACAGCGTTCCGTGCGCCTTGGTGTTTAGTCATGCCGGCCACATGACCACGGAAACGTCTTCGGACAGCGCTGGCTCTTTGGCTTTGTAACGGAGATGAGCACCGCAACCCTAGAGTCGGATTCGACTGGCTTTCGAGCAAGGGAACCTTTACCTTTACCTTTAAGTGATGTTTGCGAACTGAAGAAGCTCCATGAACTTCCACTAATTTTAAGGCAGTTTGTGGCAATTCATGAAGAGCAGAAAGCAGGTGTTTAAATGCCTCCCTTTAACCCCCTGCTTTTTGTTCCCCAATGCTATTCGCTGGGAAACCCCTACTTTCTGATTCCCACAAAAAACAGAGGGGAGCAGAAGGCAACGGTTTTAATGGCTTGAAGCTGTTTTACCCTCTGCTTTCTGCTCCCTGCAAAAAGTGGCAGGGAGCAGAAAGCAGGGGTCACAAACTGATATGAATTGGTTCAGTTAATAAACAAACCTTCTGGTTTGTACAGTTTGTGGTTCAGTCACAAACCATGAACTGAACTGCAACAATGTGATTTGTGCCCATCCCTAGTTGTGGCATCCAATGAAGCTGATGGGCAGTAGATTCAGGATGAACAAAAGGAAATGCTTCTTTATACAATGAGTAATTAAAAGGTGGACTTCTCTGCCAGAAGATGAGCTGCTGGCCATAGGCACAGGTGGCTTTAAAAGATTAGACATATTCATGAAGGATAGGTCTATCAATGACTATTAGCCATGGTGACTATTAGCCAGAAGGCATCATGGGAAGATCTTGGTTTCTATGCCTAGGGATGGGCATGAACCGGCTCACAAACTAAAGTTTGTGATGAATTTTGGCCAGTTCATGGATTGCAAAGTGAAGTTCATGGCAGGTCAACCAGCACAAACTTTCCACAAACTTTGAAGCTGTTTGTGGTGGTTTGTGAACAGATGCATTTCCAGACAGTTGGGGGGGGGGGGGCTTGTGACTTTGATTTATCTAGCTTGCACATGATCCATTTTATACACTCCTGAACCTGCACCTGTCAAAATGGCCACCTGTCATTTCTCCAGAAAGCGGTTTCCTGGGGGCCATAACTTAGACCCCATGAACCCAATCCGCACCAAACTTGGAGGACAGGTAGAGAAGAGTCACCTGGAGATCCTCCATGAGTTCAGTGTCTCTAGCATGCCAGAGGGGCATTCTACCACCTCACAAACCTCATGAACTGAACCAATTAATTTGGCAGCTAAAAGTTTGTGATGGTTTGTGGTTCATGAACCAGGCACACCATGAACCATAAACTGAACCCAACCACATTTTCCTGGTTTATGCCCATCCCTATCTGTGCCCTGTCTTCCCACAACAACTGGTTAGCCACTGTGTGAGATGGGATGCTGGACTAGATGGGCCACTGGTCTGATCAAGCAGGGCTTTTCTTATGTTCTTAAGTGAAGCTTGTGGGGGTCTTTCAAGAAATATTTTGTGTTCTGTGCAGCCATATTTTTACCAAAAATGTTTGCTCCAAAATATGTAATAATTGTGTATATGTATATAGGTTACGTGTGTGTGTGTGTGTTTATAGGTGCTCCGCATTCTGTATAACTGTACAATGTGGTTTGACAAAGGTTTTTGTATTTACTTAGAAAATTTCTGTCACCTTATCAAAGTCCTGCTCAAGACAGCTTACAATTAAAAAGCATAGTAGAAAATGAACATTCAATTATAATTATGTATATTGGATACCAGCCTACAACCAGGTTCCTAGCATGACTTCATACCCACTACAAAGGGAAACATGTTTTATTGCAAATTTATTGTCAGTATAATTAATAGTAGTAGTACATTTTAAAGCCCTGATCAACAGCCACTGTGGGACCCTTTTCAAAACAGGAGGGGGCAGGAAAGCAAAGCCTGCAAAAAGCTCAGTTGATGCTCCCTGACGGTTCATCCTCCCCTTCATGCTCCCTGAAGCTGGGAAAGGCATTGAGGGGGAAAGTGAGAAAACTGGACTTGATCATGGGAGAAAGGAGGAGCCTCTCTTTGGCAGGTCTCCATCTTCTCCTTTCCATTTGACTTCCCTAGAAAACCATTCTTCTCCCTAATGGTATGTTCTAGACTTACATTTCCTTCTGGTGAAGGCAAGGAGGAAAACCAACTGAAAACAAGACACCCCACCCTCTCTCACATATGCAGGTCTCTTTGTCTTCCTCCCAAACAGGTTTTTAAAAATGAGGGTTGAAGAAAAACTGGAGTCTGGGATGCCAGGAAGTTTTGGGTGGCCAGGCACAGCCAGTGGTAGACTGGGGGGCAGGGGCAGGGGGGACACTATGTGACATAAGGGAAAAAACTGGAAGAGATGTCACACCTCTCTAGGAATTGCTGAAAACTCTATGATTAAAAATTCACTCAATGGAAAAATTTTACATTCTTTTCCTTCTGCCGGCCACTGCAGCAGCAGGAAATGTGAGTTGGGGGCAGGGAATTTCCCAGCAGGGGCTTAGCAGTCTGTGGACTGATTTATCACCATCATAAACTGTCACGAACAGGTTCTCTGGAGAGGCGGCACAGACGTTTAATAAAATAAAGAACTACGGTCTCTTTTTTACCTAATAATTTTGTAACATTGTAGGTGTATTACCTGTGAAGGCCCTGCAATGATAATAGCAGTCCACAGTCAAACATCTTCGGTCCCACCATGTCCTGAAGGCTGGCAGTCTCTTTGGAAAGGATTTTCTTTTGTTATGGTAAGAAAAACAAGAACTACTTTTGCAGCTCTGAAAAAAACTAACGTGTTGGCCAAGGGAAAATATCATTTCTGAAGCTGGGCAGCCACAGGGATATTCAAACATCTGTGCAGTAGAATCAAATATTTAATTTTTTAATTGTGCTTAAACCAAAGGATCATCCAGAACAGAGATAATATATTGTGTGCTTACTGCAAATTACCAGCAGTCAACTCCTTGCCCCCCTTCTCCAGGGCAAAGTTCAGGGTTTTTCAGAGCCCAGGATTCCCTGTGCTGGAACAGCTGCAATTTCCTCAGGTGATAGGGCTATCTATGCAAGCTGCTCTCTATCTATATTTCTGAATGAAAAAGTTCTCAGCTCAGTCCCTGCTGTGTGCCCCTGCAACAAGTCTATATCTTTGATTCCCTACCCCCTCGATCTTTCGCACCTGGGCTTCAGTGGGGAACCGGCTTTTCCATCAGAGGGGTTCAGGAGAATGCCACTCTATCCAGCCAGGAGGGTGAGACAAATCAGGATGCAAACAGCTGTGCCTGGTCGTTTCTTTAATAGGTTTGGAAGTCCCCCCCCCCTTTCCCCCTCTCGGTTTTATCCTCCTCAGGATTAGGGGCTCCAGGTGCAGGATTTCTCTCTTGGATCTCTACTTGGGTAAATTGATTATGTTTGGTGTTATGTACTGTATATACATAATGCCTGAGCTTGAATTTCACCCCTATCTAAGCCTGGTATCATGAACGGCACAGTCTGATTGGCTACTCTGCGAAGTAGACCAATCAGGGTACAAGAAAGGTTATGGGGGGAGATGCATCCATTGGTGGTTGTGTTACTATTTTGATTGGTTCTTAACTCAGCAGTGGGCGTGGTTATCCAAGCCACGATAGTTTAAAAGAGAGCCTGTTGCTCTCCTGTTTGTGTTCATTCTTGTCTTGTTCAAATAAAGCTGAATCACCTGTTAATGAGCTGCCTGAAGTCTCACAACTTAACACTTGGGAAGCTTCTTGGGGCACTTCTTATGTGCTTGCCTAATGAGCTGAACTGCCGGTTCTTCAGCCTTGCATTCCTAAGTCTCATTCAAAGTGAGGCTGTCCTGCAAAGTTTCTCTTGTCAGCCCTCACAAATCCCTTCAATTCCCCAGTGCCACTTCTAGTTTTTGTGCTTTCTCTTTCCACACCAGTTCTTTCTGCACAGCCGTTCTCCAAGCTGTGGGCAAAAGCCACTCCAGCAGGCTGGCCCTCCGCTTCTTCTCTATGGCAGCTGCCAAATCAGCTGGGGAGCAGTTTTTCCCACTTCTGGCCAAGTCACCAGTCCACTCACGACTGCCAATATTTTACGCCTGAGCCCCGCATGCTGTGCTGGGGCCAGCCAGGGAGCTGACTTGCCAACATAGCCTCCTTCGCCAAATATTTTATGACTGAGCCCCGCATGCCCCGCTGGGGCCAGCCGGGGAGCTGACTCACCAACACAGCCTCTCCATCCTCCTTCCCTTGGAGTCTCAGCATATCGATTCTTGCAGGATCCTGCCAATTACACCACTGTATGGAGCTTTGGTCAGGAGCTCCTGGTTCACAGAAATCCCAAGGAAATGACATGCAAGATCCAGGTTTGCTTACAAGGATATTTTAATAAGCAATCAAACTTACAGAAATAGAAGGTTAAGTTCCCGTCCGCTGGGCCTCGAATGCACACATGCACAGCAGACCTTGCCAGAAACCAAGATGAGATGCATTGCTAAAACTAGGCATCTCATACCCTCACTGCTGGCTATGAGTCAAAAAGTCATTAATCAAGCTATCCCAGACACTAGGATGAGTCAGGCCATCTTGTACCTGGCTTCCAGTGGTGAGAGGCAACAACTCAGGCTTTGAAGATAAGGGCTGCTAACAAGCATGTGAATGAGAAATATTCCCTTGAGAGTAGCCTGACAGCTGTCACTTCACAGAACTGAAGGCAAGCACCAGCCTGTAACAAAGATGGAGTTACCGAGGCTACACACTTGGTTCCCCCTCAGGCTTGCAGGAAAAGGTAAACCCTCAAATGGAGTGGGGTTTTTAATCCCCTCCCCTCCCAAAGGAGGCATCTTGTCTGCACTTGCACAGACCACATAAACCTACTCTTAGCGGGGAGGAGTCATTGCATGAGCCAGACAGGTTCATAGGGAGAAGTGGCACCAGTGCTGCAGGCTGGCTGGTGAGTGGCTGGCCCAGTGGCCAACAGGAGATGGCTCCCCCCCCCTCCCCAAGTCTCATGGTAACCCATTTGTAATATACAATTAAACTTCTTTTGGAATTCATGTGCTGCTTTTCATTTGATGGTAGAAATTGACAAGGATATTATCCTAATGTTAGCTAGCATCACCAATAAAACCAGCCTGTAGCAACTCTGCCATCCGCATACTGAGTATTTATTTATATTTATTTATTTATTCGATTTGCTATCCCGCCCTAACCCCTAAGGGTCTCTGGGCGGCTTACAGAGAGTGCTAATCACATTTACAGAATCTAACCTAGGGCCACAGACATACAGGGGTGGTGACTACCCTACCAGGCACCCTTTTTGTGGCGGATCTTCGGTTGTTGTCTTGTTCTTGCGGGCGGTAGTCGGCGGCGTCCTTTCTGGTGCTGGTCTTTGGAGTTCCCTTCTTCCGGCTGAAGCGATTCCATTTCCGGGCCAGGACCACTCGCACTTCCGCACATGCTCCGCTGCGGCCTCTGTCCCGATGAGGCTCCGGCCTGCTGCATTGCTCTGCCTCCGCGCCAGTTGGTCCTGCCTCCTTCGCTCGCTCGCTCGCTCCTTGCCTTGCCAGCCACCATTTTTCTCCATCGCCGTCGCCACTGCTTCGCTTCGCCGCTCGCCACTCACCACTGCAACACAGGGACGGGTGCCCCCCCTCTAGTAGCAGGTACCCATTAGTCTAAAGTACTAAAGTTCAAATAGGTTTCAACTCAAGTATTACTTACCTGCATTACAAAAATACCACTGAACATGTCCTCATGGAAGAAATGTATTATTACAGTATACAGGTGCAGGCTCGGAAGCATCTGGACAAGCACTGGCATCCCCAGGATCGTGTTTAGAAATTTTTTATGCCATCCCATTTATAGAATGTCACGGAAGAGGGACGTGCAATTATTATTCAAACTCCTACAGTTTCTGGCTGGCGTCATTAAATTCAAGAAGAATGTTCAGGTATGCTAGTTTCTGTTGTCTGTGCTGTCTGTGACAAAGCAGAGTACAGTTGTTGCAAAGGTGACAACCGTCTCATACTTTTCAGTAACAAAGGTAGTTGCATGTGTATTATACCCCCTGCAGTGACCCTGCCTCCCCACCCAGTCTATGATGTCAACAGCTGCATACAGTTCCTTGCACAGCTGTGCTATGCAGGGACAAGGGGCTAGTGGAACAATACTGATAACAGGGCAGAATTGGAAGAAGAAATTGAATCCTGAGATAATATTGATTACTGCCATATCATTGATTTCATAGATGCCAATTAGGTCAGCTTTGGCCTTGAATAAAAGACCCCTATGAAATATTTATTCTGCTGTGTACTGTATATTATGTTTGGAGTGTTTCATATACTAGAGTAGATCTTACTCCTATCCTACCATTCCACTAAGAAAACATTATTTATTAATTAAAATATTTATATCCCCCATCTTTGCTTTTGGCTCCAAGTTCCGTTAGAAGATGAAGAAAGGCTCCTTGGGGAATGATTAATCCACTCCACTGCTGACATCAATATGGCCAAAATCAGTGGATTCTTAAATCCAGATACTAGAGCTATGAACAGATGAGACAGATCTTCTTACAAACCTAAAAAAAGCCCCAGGTTTGCAAAAAAAAATCTGAAATTAAAAAAAAATAACATAGGGGGTAACACGCCCCCCCCCCCCAAATACAAGCAGTGCCTATGGTTTTAAGAAATGAACGTCCTTATATATGGGGGTTGCTAGGCAGCCACAACAATATGCCCAGTCTTCAAACTTTAGTTGCTGTCAGAAAAAGGGAAAGCTGTTTTTGCCTTTGAGGGATGACTCATCAGGGCCAGTCCCTGTAGCAACTATCCCCAGTCTTCTGTGGTAGCTCACTAAGTGACCTTTGGCCAGTTACATATTTTCAGCCTGGCCTGTCTCACAGGGTATATGCCACTTGGCCACATTTTTCCCTGGTAGAGGCCACTGGGGGAGGGAAGGCTGAAGATGGAGAGGAGGAGATTTAGCTGGCAGGTGGGCAGGGGGAAAAAAGGAAACAGGAAAATGGGAGAGGCTATGTGGGCTCTCAGGGATTGTTTTTTAGAAAATCATGAGAGAGGGTAAAATGAGATACCCTCTTTGCAGGTCCCCTGCTTGTTTGTGCACACTTTCTTCTTCTTTTCGGATTTCTACCCCGCCCTCCCGGCCGTAGCCGGCTCAGGGCGGCTTACATAAAACAAACAAGTTATATTAAAATATGAATTACGATTAAAACAATTCTAAAAACTGCCTACTGTTTTAAGACTTTACCTGTTATTACTAATTGGTTGTTACTGAGCTCTCACTCAGTTTTAATAAATGTTCATGACCATAATTTTTAGAAATAAATTATTTTTCCTTATATAAAGAGAAATTTTTATTCATTTTTAAAGGAAACCATTGCCACAAACTGTGAAAGCTGGAGAACTAGAAAAAATTATCAGCCGCTGTCAAGTCTGCATGAGGAGATCAAACTGAACAAAACGCCAATGAAGAATTAAACTCTTGACGCTGTGGCACAAGCCCACTCCACAACGGCAAAAAATAAATGAAACCCACAATATTTTCTGAACTTGTAGTTATATCTTTTCACTGAAAACTAAACTGTATTTGTACTTGAAAATGCCAATACCGTGCAGTAATGAAAAAGTGCAATATTTTAACTATTTTGTTTTAGATGAAATGCAAAGCACTTTCTCAAAGTAAATTATTTGTGCTGGCAGTACCACGGGTTTTTTTCTTTCTTTCTGAACTATGTCATCCCTGGGGCCACTTCAGTTATGAATTAAGGGGCATCAGGCTTTTAACTGGAAAACAGAATTGCCATTTTGGGGTAGTGCTTTTTCACTGGAAACAGAGCAGATAGGCAGCTGTGCTTTACATCGGTGTTGTCAAAGCAGATATTACTTAAACTGAAACTCTGGTACTATGGGGAACTGTAGTAGAAACAGCAAAAAAACAAAACACCCTGCATGAATCTTTTTGACAGTTCATCAAACACATGTCATCCTCTCCAGTTGGTCTTTTCTCTAGCTGGGTAAATGGGAACAGTAACATTATTTTATCAGTGAAGTAACAATGCTTCTAGACTAGCTGGAAATGCAGGCTTACAATACAAACTTGTTTTTTAGTTCCACAAGTGCAGTACATGTAGTTTACATATTGTTGGATCCTTTTTACTGACTTCATTAGGCCTTTGATTGAGTCTTGCTGATCTAGGCCTAAAAGATGAAAATATTGAGAAAAGTGGTAGCTGAAAACTTTATTTCTGGCTGTCTTTTTGTCTTTACTGAGACAAAACTAACTATGGCAGGCTTGTAAATGACACCCCCTCCCCCAGTTCACACCTGATAGCTGTGGCAAGTTAGACCAAAACAGAAAAACTTTTTAAAAACTACAAAATTGGTTCTCTTTTCTTTCAGTTTACTGATGTACCAGTATAACTAACAGAGTGAGGTTAAGCCTGTAACATTTGTTGTGATTGTGCAGACTTATTTTTAAAGGAGTACAATACCAAAAATGTGCATAACATTTATAGTTTGCACAGTTCAGTAATAGTTCAGTCAAAGGACCGACACCATGAAGCTGCCTCATAACTGGTCTATCAAGTTCAGTAAGAACAAAAACCTAACAAACTAAACCTAACAAAGAACTCCAAAACCAAACAAAGGTTAGTGGAAAGGAGGGCCAATATTAAAACCTTTTCATAAAAAGAGGTACATGTATTTATTGATAATATCAAATTAAAACATATATAGGGGCCCAATTATAACCAATATATATAAAACATAACCATAACCAGGGCTAAAAGAGTTGACCTGACGCGTTTCGGCCGAATCGGCCTTCCTCAGAGGTCATACAAGTGTGGCTAGATGGTAAATAGTTACATTCATAAAAACACAATCAGGAATATATACAAACTATAAATTCAACAAGGACCATAAAGTAAATTGCTGTAAAGATAAAAAATAGAAGATTAAACACACATATTTTACAACCAATAAAAAATATTTTTGAAATCTATACAGCCAATCAATGAATGTGTTACAAACTTACTTCAGAAGTAAAATAACCAGGCACAGGATAAATATGCACATGAAATACATTGGATGCACATCAAGGCCATTGCGGACTAGAATAACTGAACACAGAAGTTGCATCAGACGGGACAGGAAGAATGCACCCTTGACAGAGCACTTTAAGATGGCAGGACACAGTGATAAGGATTTTGCCTTCTTTGCTCTCGAGTATGTTCGGCCGAGTGGCCACCAACAGATGATCCAACAGCTGAAAAAAAGAGAATTATACTGGATACATACTCTTAAGACTGCAACCCCATACGGCCTGAATGAGCATGTTGACTGGTGTGCAATATAATCTTGTTGTTATAGCATGTATCTTTATATATGGACTGTTTAAATTTGTATTGTTTCTTTATCCCTTAATGGTATACTCGATGTGTAAGGTGCAATCACATGACCAGATTACCTTACTATAAAGCTCCAGCATTTTAAAATTTATCCACACTGCTTTTTACTTGTGAATATTGTGGCAACCCACTCAAAGAAGGTTATTTGTGGACCATAGGTAACTATTTTATAATTATTACTAGCATTGTGCACTTTTGGCTTTTAAATTGCTTGATATACTGATTTTCATTTTATTCCTTAGGTGGATTTTATAATCACTGGGCTAGTGATTGCACTAAAAAGGTTTCATGTGCATATTTATCCTGTGCCTGGTTATTTTACTTCTGAAGTAAGTTTGTAACACATTCATTGATTGGCTGTATAGATTTCAAAAATATTTTTTATTGGTTGTAAAATATGTGTGTTTAATCTTCTATTTTTTATCTTTACAGCAATTTACTTTATGGTCCTTGTTGAATTTATAGTTTGTATATATTCCTGATTGTGTTTTTATGAATGTAACTATTTACCATCTAGCCACACTTGTATGACCTCTGAGGAAGGCCGATTCGGCCGAAACGCGTCAGGTCAACTCTTTTAGCCCTGGTTATGGTTATGTTTTATATATATTGGTTATAATTGGGCCCCTATATATGTTTTAATTTGATATTATCAATAAATACATGTACCTCTTTTTATGAAAAGGTTTTAATATTGGCCCTCCTTTCCACTAACCTCTATCAAGTTCAGTACCATCTACTCTGAGGGGCAGCACCTCGCCAGGATCTCAAGTAGAGGCTTTTCACATCACTTACTATCTGATCCTTTTGCCTGGAGCTGCTAGAGATAGACCCTGGGGGCCTAGCATTGGATTGAGCACTAATTCTGCCCTGCATTGTACCTCTGTCAGTGCACTGAATGCAAAGACCACCATATTCACCCCTGTTAAGCTAACAATTATAATCTGTGCATTCAGGTTTCAGTGACTTAAATACTGGTTGAAGGAATTGGCTGAATTCAGTGATATTTCATCCTGTGAAATCAAAGCAACCAACCAGAATACCATTTTGGCAGAGTTTCAAATAATAATATCTGCAAAAAGATTTATGCTAGAACATAAAGTTGAGATGCATTTAGTTACAGTCATTCTGATCCAACAAGGAAAACTCCCATGCACCACTGATGTGAATTTGCATCCAGCTATAAATGCAAATCATAAATGCACATCTGGTCCACGTTGAGTTTGATGGATAAATCTATTGGGTGATTGACACACCAGTCTGGGGCCAGTAGTTGTGAACAACAAAACACACTGTCAGCTGCATCAGGGCTTTTATTTCGAAATAGAATATATATTTTTAAGTGTAGCTCTGAATGTTTAAAATTTTTAATGCTACACAGGAACCTTTTTTATATGTCCACTACTTTTGATACTTGCACAAGTGTCAGATTGTAATAATTAGCCATTAAAATAATCTCATTATCTTTCATAGTTTTGCAAATGCATGATTATAAATATATGATTCACAGATCCATTAAACTGCCAGTTTTTCCTTGTTGCTAGTATATATTTTTACAAGTAAAGGGTTTTTGTTATGTTTTTTAAAAATGAAATTTCTATTTACTGCTGACATTTTTTTTTACTTAAAGTTCCCCCACCCCAATAATACATTATTGCAAAACCAGTTGGATGCAAAGACATGTTGCACTGGCAAATTAGCACTTCTAGTAGGATTGTCAAACACCAACACTGACCAAATTAGTGCAGGACTGCTATGTTTGACCTATGAGCCAATATGCCAACTAAAAGGTTTATAGACTGCGGTAGTAAATAAAACATTGTTATCCTCAGACAAATGTATACATTGCTTTCTTTCATATATTACAACTGTTTCGATTCCTTTTCTAGGAAGGATCCAAAAAAATAAGAAGGCTGCAATCCAGGGTAGTCCATGCTTAAAATAAGCTTTGCTCTTTTTAATACTGCACTTTTCATTACATAGAACACAATAACAGGTAAGTTCTCAGGACCAAGACATTTACTAGATGAAGATGAACATGTGTGAAGCTGCATATGATGTTGGGGCTTCCTCATCCTCTTCCTCTTCAATGAGTAGTGGAATGAACAGCATAGCCAACAAGGAATATTGGTGCAACCATCAGTTTGTGCAACAGTGCAATCCTGAGAAAAGTTACACCCTTTTAAGTCCATTGAAGTCAGTTGGCTTAGAAGGATATAACTCATACTCAAGACTACAGTAAATCACACCAAAGTTACAGAAAACCATCAGTTTGGGACAAACAATAGCAATATGGAATACCTATAAATGGCAACACCTTGACCTGGATAGCTCATGCTAGCCTGATCTCGGAAGCTAAGCAGGATCAATCCTGGCTAACATTTTGGATGGGAGACCTCCAAGGAATACCAGTCAGACTTGTGACAGGGAGGCAGGCAATGGCAAACCACCTCTGTCTCTTGCCTTGAAAACCCTATGAGGTCACTGTAAGTCAACTGTGACTTGATGGCAAAAAATAAAGAAACAACAGCAGCTAAATAAGTTTATTGTCATGATATCTGTTGCCATAGTTAATGTCAGTCCTAAAATAACTATGAGAGGGTGACTCACAAATCTTCCCACTGTTGACAGATTGCTACTTGTTTGCCTTCACTGTGGTTGAGTGAGGTTTGATTTTGCACTTCTTTGTTCTTCATTTATAGCTCATCTTTCTCGATACTCAGTGTGAGGGAAGTTATGTAATTATTTACATTTCTCATGTTTGCAGTAATCTGCAGTGCTTATTATTAAGTTTTCTATGAGATAGTAGAGACCTGTGCAATTTCAACAGTAAGCTCTGTTAGAAATGCACTCATCATATTTTTGACACAAGTATGCTGTCTCCTGAACTGGGCACAGGAGAAATCTGTTCTTCTGATTTGCTGAACAAACTAGATTGCTACAGCATTGACTGGCTGGTCTTTGTGCCAATCCTGAAGCCACTTTGAACATTTTCAGAGCATGGCTGGGTAGTGCCATTAGCCTTGTGCCCACCTCTCTTACTCATGCAGTGTTTTGTTTTAATGCTGCAGACCTTAAAATATGAGAAATGACCATTTGGAAATGAAAAACAATTTGAATAAAA